CCCGACCCAGGGACGAAGCTCTGGGGGACGGGACCACTTGCGATGTCTGCTAAAGGAGCACAGCGGGGCGGGCTGGCTGGAGGGGCGGGGATCGGCATTCCTGCGGGTCTGCCCGGAAGGTGGGGAACCTGGGATTTAGCCATGGGACCTGTGGAAGGGTTTTGGTCCGGGTCCTAACAGTCAAGTCTGGGTTCTCAAAGATGGTTGGGACAGTGGGCAGGCTTGTAAAGGCCGATGAGGCTGGTGGACCTGGTGGCTGAGGCCTAGGCCAGGCAGGGGTCGGAGTAGAGAGGTCACAGTAGGTGTGGTCCCTCCTCCTCCCACCCCTCAGGCCTAAGTAACTCAGGCCTTTGTGTTACGGCTGCACCGGGACCTCCATCCACTACACACGCGATCACGCAGCCCAGTGAAAACCTGCCCCGTGTGCCCCGTGTGCAGACCTGCAGCATGCACCCCGCACCCAGCCGTGTCCCCCGTTCCCTGCACGTGGCTCCAGTGTAAGTGCAGTGTGCTGTGTGCGGCGTCCCAGCGCGCACCCCGCACCCCACCGTGTCCCTCTGGGTACGGGGTCCGCGTGCCCGCGCCCTCCCCGCAGCTGCCAGCGTCCCCATTAATCACGCGGCGCTGACGGCGCAGTGATCTGCGCGCTGGCGGCGTGACGGTGACGGTGACGGCGGGTGACGGAGCGGGCAATCGGCGGGCGCCCATCGGCCCATCTTATCGCGCCGGCCCAGCCGCCGCCCGCCGCGCGCCGCCCATTGATCGCGCCGGGCCCCTGCCCGGGGGTCAGCGCGGGCCGGGCCGGCCTGACAGCCGCATCCATCGCCTAGACGCGCGCTGATGGCGGCCCGGCCTGCACTGCCCGGCCATTAATCACCGTGCCTGCCGCCAAGTGACTGGGAGGGGCGGCAGGGCAGCAGGGGCCGACAGGCAGCCCCCGCGGCCGGCCCACCCCTTCCCCATTCTGGGGCCCCGCTGCGTGGCCCACCCTGCGCCCTGAGCTCCCCAGTCCCGCTGCCCAGGACTCCCTCACCCCCTATCCTGCTCTCCCCAGAATGGAAGGGGAGTGGCCGCACACTGGAGGAAGCAAGGAAGAGGAACTTCTGTGTGGAGAATGAATGGATGACCATGAATGGAGGGGTGAACACTGTTCTACCTCCCGAGGGACCTCTTTTTCAGACACCAAATGAAAGCAGGTCTGACCTGACAAACACCAGCGCTGGCCGCAGCAAGGGGGTGGTCATTTCGCCCCCTCTGGCTGCCTCAGCCCTAGCTGAGCCTCACCCAGGATGGGATGCCAGGGCCTGGTGAGAAGCAGTGCGTTGTTTCTGGCAGTTGCCCCGTGCTATCCCCTCCGCTCTTGGGCTGTGTGGCCCTGAGCCAGTGCTGGCCCCTCTGGGCTGCAGGGCTTTTTCCAAACACAGGGGGATCCTAAGGGTCCTTCCAAGTGCCAGCTGTCTTCGAAAGGGAGGGGCAGGCCTAGCAGGCTGCTTGCTCCAGTTTGACAAACTGTGACCTCTTTCCAAGTGGGCCAGGGATCAGGAACTCTTTACTGCCTGTTAGTCTCTTGGGTACCTGATGCAGCCACATGTGGGTCACTTCACCAAGTCCTCACATGGGTCTATGAGATATGAACTTCCCACTCTCACACCAGGAAACCAAAGACTCACGAGGCTAGGACAAGGGCCACACAGAGGAGGAAAATGCAATCAATGCCATGCCCTGCTGAGCCCCAGAACCACTTGGTCCCCATCCACTGCGCCTCTGCCCACAGCCCTCCCAGAGCAGGGGGGTACCCCAGCTGCTCCGCCCAGGGCTGGCCACAGTTTCTGAGAGAGGTCGACTGGGAACGCAACCCCACCCCCCTTCTGTACCCCCATTTTATTATACAAATGGCTAAGAAAGGTTTGCTAACCAAGAAGTCACTTTCTAGTGTGAGAGCACGATCCATTTAGTCCTAAAAAACAAACTATCCTACCAATCAATCTGGCAGATGCAACCCTAAGACATGTTGCAGTAAGAAGGTGTCTGCACTGAGAAAATGAGGCAGGGCACAAGGTGGTTTCCCTGCCACGGCCAGGGACACGTCTTTCAAGAGCCCTTCCCAGTCTCACAAGTATCTCTGGGGCCATTAGCACATGAGACAGGGTGCTGGGATTTATGTGAAAATCCCTCCCTCCCTCTCCTCAGCCACCCAATCGGCTCCCTGGGTGGCACCCAAGAGAGCCTGGGCTGAGAGCCTGGAATATTCAACCACTTCCAATGACCAGCCCCCACCCTGCCTCACTTTAATATTACAACAATTTTTCACACTGGAGCTGAAATAGTGCAAAAAATGGGGCTGCTGTAATTGTTGTTAGATTGTGTGTCAGCCTGATAAGATGTAACAAATATTTTCCTCCCCACCAGGGTCTGTTTCCCTCTTAGTAATGGATGGAGAAACTTCTCATAGTCGGCGAGGGATCAGTCGTAAAAACTTCGCTTAGAAGATTAATGTAATAATCACAGACCTTGCTGGAAAAAATAGGAGGAAAATTAAAATAATCTCACCTTCCTACCTATCCAGAACCATCTCCCTCACTTTGGAGCACAGACCAGCGAACTGGGCCAGCTCTCTGGGCACCACCTCAGCTAGGATACCTGAGGAGCAGGAACCAAAGGTCTGTGGCCTGGGAAGAGCGAGACCACGGTCCCCTCCTCACCTGGCTGCTCTGGATGTTGGTACCTTGGGCAGCCGAAGAAGACTCTGTCCCCACCCGCGGCTGGGAGATCTGCTGTCAGCACCACTTCCATCCTGCTCCTTAAACACCATGAAAGGCTTGGGGCCCAAGTGAGAGGCCCAGCTGGAGCAGAGGCCTGCCTGGTTCTTGTCCTCTAGGTGGATCACCTTCTCCACACCAGACCCCGCTTCCTTCACCTGCCTGGTAGAAAGGTCAGATCTTGACAGCTCCTAGCTGCCACTAAATGCCAACACAGAAAGAGGCAGTATGGCCCCCAGGTGTTAGGAACACAGGTTCCAAACAGCCTGATTTCAAATCCTGGTTCCGTCTCTCACTAGCTGGGCAAGGGACTTGCCTGAACTGCCCCTCCTCCTCTATGGAAGTGGACTTGGAAGTGGGCTAGCACACCTATCCCAGTCTCACAGGCTACTGTGAAGGCGACATGGAACGCAGAGTGTGAACACAGTCCCTGGTGCAATAAGCTCTTGCTGCATCTCTCTTCTGTTTGTCTAACATGGCTCGAGTGGGGAGGCTAAAGACAAGTGCAGCCTCAGAGGACACTGGCAGCCAGCATGGGCCACATGCACAGCTGACTCCATGAAGGGTCCTACCACCACTGCTGTGCATGCCAGGGTCCTCAGGGGCCAGGCCCAGGGAGAAGATTCACACTGGCAGCAGGGACAGGCTGGCACCTCTCAGGCTAGGTGGGATCCCCAGCATCATCTCCGCCCCCTCCCACTGTCCCCTTGACATGACTACAGGGGACTGTCCCTAATGGAAGGACAATGCTGCTTGCCCCACAAGGAGCTCATTGTTAGTTTGGACTAAAGCACTGAACCAAGATGACCATCCTGGTCAGCCCTGCCTCCCATATCATAACAGCACGGAGATCCAGTCTGAACTTGCACAAGGGGCAAGTGCTAGGAACAGTGTCCGGGTGCTCAGCCCTACCTCAGGCACCACAGAGCCGGCAGGGAAGGACAGGCATGGCAAGGGCAAGAACGCAGCGCTCATCCTACTGGGAAGGCACATTCCAGTAAAGTGCACTGCCCAGTGCTGCACTTACCCTTGCTGCTTACTTAGTGGGTGAACCCAGAGATGCGGCCAGAGAGATGGGGACACATCAGAGGGACACACGAGCCAACTGACAGAGCTCTCACTGGCCAAAGCTGGCTCAATTTGAGCAACAAAATAAATCTACTAAAGTATACGATGAACTTTCGTGAGTCCATTCTGATACAATCTTCCATGCAGAATCCCAAATAATTTCGGTAAATACTCAGTTCTCTAGAGGTGAGCATAACCGCCACCCTTTAAGTGTGGGCTGCACATAGTGACTTCCTTCCAAAGAAATCAGTATGGAAAGGCAGCACAGAGTAACTTTACAGTGAGAAGACCCCACAAACATGACCTCAGCCATCAAGGGTCAAGGTCACCATCAACGATGAGTCATGTTGTTAGCATGTGATGAGAACCACACATGGTATGATGTGATGAGAACTGCATTTCACCTCTGTATCTTCCTCTCCATAACCCACAATCCCAGTCTACTCACGAGAAAAGCATCAGACAAACCCCAACTGAGGGATGTTCTACAGAATACCTGATCAGTCCTCCTCAAAACTGTCAGGGTCATCAAGAACAAGGAAAATGTAAGAAAATGTCACAGCCAAGAGGCATCTAAGGAGATATGACAACTAGTTGTAATGGGTTATCCTGGATGGGATCCTGGGACAGAAAAAGGACATTAGGGGCCGGGCACCGTGGCTCAAGCCTGTAATCCCAGCACTTTGGGAGGCCGAGACGGGCGGATCACGAGGTCAGGAGATCGAGACCATCCCAACATGGGCTAACATGGTGAAACCCCATGTCCACTAAAAAATACAAAAAACTAGCCGGGCGAGGTGGCGGGCGCCTGTAGTCCCAGCTACTCGGGAGGCTGAGGCAGGAGAATGGCGTGAACCTGGGAGGCGGAGCTTGCAGTGAGCTGAGATCCAGCCACTGCACTCCAGCCTGGGCGACAAAGCGAGACTCCGTCTCAAAAAAAAAAAAAAAAAAGGACATTAGGTAAAACTGAGAAAATGTGAATGCAGTATAATAATGCATCGGTATCGGTCATTCACCGTGACAAATGTGCTATCTGATGTAACATGTTAACAAGAAGGGAAACTGGGTACGAGATACATGGGAACTCCCTATGGTATATTCACAATGACTCTACAACTAAAACTGTTCTGCAAAGTTTATTTTTTAAAAACTTAGAATAGAGAGAGAGAGAGATCAAAATAACCTATGAAGATTTATAGAAAACACATCAGGTAAGGAAGGGTTCTTTCAAAGCAACCACAGGAACAGTTATGATAATTTAAAAACAAATGCTTTCCACACTGAACTGACAGTGCTGTAGACCACGCCCTGAGTGGGGACGGCAGCCCCAAGCCCAGGGGCGAGCGCCCACAGGCCAGACCCAGGCCAGACACACCTGGGGAGTCTCTTGCTGCTGAAAACCTCAGCCATCTCACTTCATGTACTTATCCTGCTGATCAGCCAGGATTTTGGCGGAGGACTTGGCATCATAGAAAAGCTCACTGATCTCTTCGACGTGCTCTTTCTCAATGCTGTCCTTCCCGTTGATTTTAGCAAGCAAGTTGGCCGGGGTCAGCAGCTGCACTGAGTACCTAGAGTGGACAGAGGCCAGGGCTGGAGTGAAACTGGGGCCACCGAAGCCCCTTCCCCCAAATCAGCAGGCAGCACTGACACCAGGAGCAGAGCCCAGTGCTAGGCTTGTGCCAGCTGATATGAGCACAGAAAAGGGGAGACAAAGTTGTCACTTCTCAGAGAGCTGCAGTCATTACCCCATCAGAGAGGGGCCAGGAGCCACCAAGAAGACATAAGTGCTATTCCCCAAATCTTTAGTACAGTCTACAAATCCTCCAATAGGAAGTAACATCACTTCTACTGGAAAAGGACTGCAAACTTAAATGTATACAGGTGTCCAACAGATAGGGATATTTAACATGGCAGGGAAACAAAAACACAGCCAGCTGGAAGTACATGCCCATCCAAAGGCATGAAGACTCTGCCGTTTTAAAAAGTACCCCTTCATCCAAACCTCATAGCTTGCATTTCTGCCTTCAACCTCAGGAACAAGAACTGACTAAAGGGATGTAGGGAAGGGCTGAGGACTGTGAAGCAATGATTTTACAATGAGTCAGGCCACTGTGAAGGGCCATGCTCTGCAGGTCCTGCCTTTGAGTTGCTGGAGAACTGTCTATGTCTGTGCTCCTCCCTGGCTCTCCATACCCACCACCCAGACATTTTTTATTTGCTTGATGGTTAAATAAATCAAAAAAAGTTAAAGATTTACCAGGCCTCATAACATCACTAGGAGAACAGGAGCCAGGGCCCTGGCTAATTAGCTGCCACATGGTCCCTGCTCTCTAATTCTATGCATATTCTCTGCCACAAGAAGGCCCAGGGTCAAAGCACTCTCCACCAGAGGGGAGCATCTGCTGCAGGACACAGGGACTTCACCCTTACTCTAGCTTGTTAAAAACCATCAGATAAATCCTCCGCATTTGAAACTCAAGTGCCCTGGCACCCATCACACCAGGAAGAGCAGATGGATACAGTCCTGTGCCCTAGGAAGGGATCTGCCTTTATTGTCCAGAATGACCCCAGTGAGAGCCCTGGCTGTGCTGGGGAGGCCCCGGCGGGCCCAGGGTACTGGCTCACCTCAGTGTTGTCTTGGTGCCAATCTCCCCCAGGTGGTTCAGTGCCTCCTCACTGATGTTGATTCCCTCCGTCTGGGCACGGATTTTAATGATCTTTTAAAGGAGAAAAAACATGATCAACAGTGACTGACCTCAAGTGTCCCATTTCTAAAGTGCTTTAAAGACAATGTTGCTCAGTATTTCTCACTGTGCAGCATAAGAGAAATCAAGACCTGGGCTGGTGGGCAGGAAGCAAACGCCTGCCCAGCACTGCCGGCCCGGCACCCTCCAGGGGGCATGTGCGGCCCCACATTATGCATGAATAGCATCACAGCCAGTATGCTGTGTTCAACTGACTCAAGTGTGGCTGGTGCCCCAGGAGGTGTGCAGCTTCCAAGTGGCTCACTCTTGCCTCCATGTCCTTCCCTCCCCTGTCACCAGGCAGAGAACTGGGGCCTCTTCTAACCTACCCTGGGCTCCCACAAGGGCTCTAACCTACCTCTCCAGCATGGGCACTACCACCTACAAGCACTCAAGAAAGAAGAGACATTTTTTATTTGCTTGATAAATATGATGGTTAAATAAATCAAAGAAGTTACTTTTAAAGATTTACCAGGCCTCATAACATCACCAGGAGATATCTAATCTATCAAGAAGAGGCTGACGCTTGTTGCAGTTTGAAGATCTTGGTAGAGTTGGAGGGGAGGCAGGCTGGTGGCGGGGATGCTGTAACACGGTGGACCAGGATCCTGCAGGCGTACCAGCACTGAGTGATAAGGGGCAGCCGGGATAATGATGTTGTGTGTTGTGGAGCTGAGATAACTGCAGGACTTCGAGCCGCATATAATACAGGAATTTTTCACTTTGGCAGCTTCGTAAACAAGATATCAAGAAGCCCTTGTTGAAATTAAAGCCATAAAAGTACACCCAGTGTAGAGGCACAGGAGCTGGGAAAGACTGAGTCCCAGCTTTAGCCTTCCAGGAGGGAGGAGAGCCAGAGCTTTACTGAGGTGGCCACATCAAGCCTCGCTTGTCAGCTCTCCAGGCTGGGACCCTGCGGGCAGGAGCTGCAGGGGTGGGGAGCCCAGTCTCTGATGATCCTGGCTGTGTGGGGGGACAGCACGTCGGCTGCCCATAGATGGGAAAGGCCTTGGAAAGCACCAGCAGGCCAGAGCAGCTGCAATGAGCCGGGTGAAGGTGAAGTGCTTCGCCAGCAAACACTCTGGGGAGGCAGCCCCTCCACCCACAGCCACCACTGCTACAAGGTGCTGTCTGAAGTCTTCCCTTTTGTCAAGATGGGCTCAGAAGTCAGATCTTTGTACGAAATGTGCTGATTTTGGCCGGACGCAGTGGCTCACGCCTGTAATCCCAGCACTTTGGGAGGCCGAGGCAGGTGGATCACCTGAGGTCAGGAGTTTAAGACCAGCCTGACCAATATGGCAAAACCCTATCTCTACTAAAAAGACAAAAATTAGTTGGGTGTGGTGGCGCATACCTGTAATCCCAGCTACTTGGGACGCTGAGACAGGAGAATCGCTTGAACCTGGGAGGTGGAGATTGCAGTGAGCTGAGATTGTGCCACAGCACTCCAGTCCGGGCAACAAGAGAGAAACTCCGTCTCCAAAAAAAAAAAAGGTCCTGATTTCTAGATGTCAGCAACTTGTTCAAATATTTCACAAACACTGCATAGGCCACATGAAACTTATCTGCTGGGCTCATGGGTGAACTGCCAGGGTGTGAGCTCCACTGAAACAATCTTAGCTTGTGCAGGAGGAGTTCCGCTGTTTGAGATTCAAAGCTAAATGGAGCTGGGCAGAGAGGGGCCCTCCGAAGTTACTGGATGGTACAAGGACAATCAAGAAAAGGAAATGGGGGTGACTCCCTGCTCCATCAACAAAACTCCCCTCTGAACACAGCTTCAAGGTAAAAAAGGCTTCTCACTCACAGCTAGGACTGAGGAAACTGCCAGGTCCTGCCAAGAAAAATGTCCCCAGAGGACCTTCTGAAACTCCAGAGAGATGCAAATATTGAATCCTGGAGCCTGGTCACAGGAGACAGCTTCAGCCTAAGCGTCTCCCCTTCAGTGAGCTGCACTGAATCTGCGGCTCAGCTTCCAGAATGTCAGGGACACTCTGCTCTCTCTCTCACTAGAGCAGGTCAAAGCAATCGTGAGAGCGTCCGTCTCAAGCTGCTCGAAAACGGACAGTTCATAAATGAGATCTTTAATCATTTAATAACCTGCAGGGATAGTTTATGAGGGTGTCGGCTTGGATTGCAGAGTACACAAGTTACATCGAGTTTGTTTAAAAACCTAGCCCAGGCTCCAGTAAAAATGCTGAGGTTATTGCCTGGGCCAGTGGGAACAAAGCCACGAGTCCTGACAGAAAGCCTGAGGAGAGGCCCTCCTGACTAAGCCAAGATAGCCCTAGCCCAGAGCTGGCCTGGCAAGTCACTGTTCTAGAAGCACAGTGCAGAACATTCCAGACTGCTTGGGCCAGGAGCTCTGGGTTCGAATGGCAGCAGCAAGGGTGAATTAGCTCTGAGTGGTCGTCCTGACTCTGCTGCTTACTCTCCACATGGCCACAGGACCCTCATTCTTGGAGCCTCCAACATTGGCTATTGCAAAGCTGTTGTACGTTGTACGTAGAGGACCCTAGAGGGTACCTATGAAGCACACAAAGCTATGAATACAGTAATAACAACAGCAATGGGAAGGATGGGAGGGCCTGTTATTGCCAATACCTCACAAATCCTAATGACAATCTTGCAAAGCAGAGAGCAGATCTTCCACTTAACAGAGAAGGTGGAGGCTCAGTGAGATGCACCAAATTGCTCAAGTCATTCAGTAGCCAAATGATGGCCTCAAAATACTCCTGGTGTCTCTGGTCCTGACCACATCTGTGCTGGGCTGCCTTTTTTGGCAGGACACATGGGGTTTTAGACCCAAAAGTAAGGTGCTATGTCCTGCAGTAAGAATGGGCCAAGAATTGTCTAGGACTCTGTTTCTGCTTCTGCCTCTGTTCAGTGAATGCCTTGGCTTCAACTTGGCAGTCACCCAAGAGCAAGACACCCTTACTTGGCGATGAGGCCCCCAGTCATTGACACCATCTCCTAAATAACATATACAATTGCTACTATGAATCATAACTGCTTCAGTAATTTGCCAGTGCTGGTTACGAAGGGAGATCCGTGACTCTCCTGATGCATTCCTACAGCACTCCTGCATGCGGTCAATGAGAGATGCCGGCAGGCCCACGCTGGACCTCCAGCCATGGGAGAGTAGCTGAAGTGCTGGGAAAGGCCCCCCGCAAGGAGAGGCCCTGACTGCTCCAAAAGAAAGATCCTGCTCACAAACTGCCAGAGGAAAGCCACCTCACGAATCCTGATGACAATGAGATGAGAGATTTCTAGCAGCAGGGAAGCTGAGTGGCACAGTGATTAAGAACACAGGTTTCTGGATCAGAAAGCCTGAATTACAGCCAGTCCTGTTACCTGCTAGCCACTGACTAATGTTATGAACTTGGGCAAATTAGTTACCCTAGGTCTCAGTGTCCTCATCTGTCTTTTTTTGAGACAGGGTCTCACTCTGTTGGAGTGCAGTGGCACCATCACAGCTCACTAAAGCCTCGACCTCCTGGGCTAAAGTGATCCTCTCACCTCAGCCTCCCAAGTAGCTGGGACTACAGGCACACATTACCGCACCTGGCTAACTTTTTATGTTTTGTTGAGTAGGGGTGTCACTATGTGGCCCAGGCTGGTCTCAAACTCCTGAGCTCAAGTGACCCTCCAGCCTCAGCCTCCCAAAGTACTGGGATTACAGGTGTGAGTCACCATGCCTAGGTAATGTCCTCATCTTTTAAAACTACTGGGTAATGACAGTAGTTCTCCCTGCCTCATGGGTTACTGGGGATCAAATGGAATCAAACTGGCCAGGCATGTCCTGCTCAACACGATGCTTAACAGAGTGCCATGCTCTGGTGAAAAGACAAGGTCCAGGCAAAGTGCATCGAGATGTCACTGCAGCCCCAGCCTGCTCAGCATCTCCAACCATGGCTGCACGCCAGAGTCCACCAGAAGAGAACATTTGGGGCAAGGGTGGGCAGGGCAGAGGAAAGAGCACAGCACATACCACCTCTGAGACACCAATCCAGGGTATGTACCACTGAACAGATGGCCTGGGCTCTGCAGGGCACTGCCTGGTTTTGCATCCTGGACTTACAGCTCCGTGACTCAAATGTAAAAAATAAAACAGATGGTGATCATACGGAATACCTGAAAATACCATTAAGGTGACTAGAAATTCCTAGTCCAATGATTCCAATGCTTGGCACATAGTTGTGCTCGAGCTGCACATCAAGCAAGAGGCAATTCTTACAGAGACCACTGGGACTGTGGCCCTTTGGATAAAGCCCACGCTCATACATCCCTGTCGTCTCCCAACTCCAAGCCTAACCCAGATTCAGCTCACGCAGACTTATGGGCAGGCACCGTGTGCCAGCCACGGAGCTAGATGCTTCCAGGGGTCCTTCAATGAAGCCTCTTATTATATGATCAGTTTCACAAACTCTATCTTCAGGTGCTCTTCTAAGCTGTATGATGCTGTCTCGCCATAACCTCTGTGGACTTGGCAGAAGCCCTCAAGGACTCTATTGCAAAGCCACAGACCTGCCCAGGGGCGGCCTCCAAAGCTGCCGAGAAACTTGTCATTCGTCATGCTGTTTACAACAGACAGGCTCTGCTAGGACACAGGCACTGGCCTCTTCCAGGTCAGGGTGGCTACATTCTATACCCTGCTGGAGCTGGCTTGCTGTTGGTTCAGGTGGAACAGTGAGCCTGGCCTTGTCCTCCGAGTAAAAAAGGCCACAGGCATAGTCTGGCCTGGTCACCAAAAGGCTATCACTAAATCATATTTTATTGCCTCCTTTTTATAGAGCTGGTAGCTTCCCTAATGGCTATCATCAAATTGATTTTTTCACTAACCTTTTCCTAAAGCTTATCAAAGGGGGAACAGCAGAAAAGCGAACAGCCAAGACAGGGAGCTGAGCTTCTTTTGACACTTGGGGCAATGTCTAGTTAGCCCAATCCATCTTTCAGATGGGGAGACTGAGACTCTGGAGTAATGTGAATTGCTCGAGGCCAGTAGCTAAGTGGTGAGATGGTGAATGGCAGCCAGATCCAAGCCGCAGATACCTTTCTGCACAGCCATCAGTGAACACTGGGAGCAAATGAGAGAAGACAGCAGGAGGGAAGAAGGGAGGCTCACCTGTTTCATTTCCTGTGGAGTATACAGCATGGTCCGGATTATCATTACTCGGTCCAGAAGGTCAAGAGGGATGCCGTGAGGGGATGTGATGTCCTCAGTGCCTCTGTAAGGGGCAAAATTAATCCCATCACCTAAGCCTCTGTTAGACAAGAAACGACACTGGAAATACAGATCCAGCATTCACACCACAAGCAGCTGGCCAGGCAGCCTAAGAATCAGAGCCAGGACCATAGTAAACAGACTAACCTCCAGTGGCATAAAAACAACTTCAGGCTGGGCGCGGTGGCTCACACCTGTAATGCCAACACTTTGGGAGGCAGAGGCAGGTAGATCACCTGAGGTCAGCAGTTCAAGAACAGCTGGCCAACATGTTAAAACCCTGTCTCTACTAAAAATACAAAAGTTAGCTGGACATGGTGGTACACACCTGTAATTCCAGCTACTGGGGAGGCTGAGGCATGAGAATCACCTGAACCCGCGAGGCAGAGGTTGCAGTGAGCTGAGAGTGTACCACTGCACTCCACCCTGAGTGACAGAGTAAGACTCTGTCCCAAAAAGAAAAAAAAAAAACAAACCAACTTCATTGTCTTGGTAATCATCAGTATCATAGGAAAACTGGGAAACAGGAAAAAACAATAACTAAAATCATACTCAAAAATAATCATCTAGATATCTGCCAAACTTTCATATATATACAAATTATGTAGTATAATACATAGTATGTACTATATATTATATATAGTACATATATGTACATATATAACTATATACTATATATAATACTCTATAGCATAATTTTACAAATTATACTAAGTATGCACATATTTTTTTGTTTTTGTCCATGTTGCTTCAGTCTTCTTTGCTTTGTTTTGTTTTGTTTTTGAGACCGGGTCTTGTTCTATGGCCCAGGCTGGAGTGCAGTGGCATGATTCTGGCTTACAGCAGCCCCAGACTCCTGGGCTCAAGGGCTCCTCCCACCGCAGCCTCCCGAGTAGCTTGGAGTACAGGTGTGAGCTACTGCACCTGGCTTGCATCAGTCTTAATACTTATGTTTAATATTTACTTAACAATCCATTAAATATTTTACTTAACCCAAATCGTTGAGCATTTAGGTAGTTTCCAATTGTTGCTATTATTTTTATTGATATTTTGATGCATACAGTCATAAGCATTTCCTTAGCAACTGTTGTAGTGCCTGACAGAACCCTGAATAGCTACTTGAATGAATAACTATCCTAATTTATTCAGCTACATGAGTTATCTAATCTCACAGGATCATAGCCACTACCAAGTATTCTCATTCTGAAACATTTTGCTATTTTGACAGTTTAGAAAAAGAGGGAAAAGTAACACCTTAAGTTTGCATTTCTTTGATTACTAATGAAGCATTTGAATGTATTCCCTTATATATATATATTATTTTACTTCTTGTTGAGAAGGATCCAATCCCATCATTTGCCTATTTTTCTCTTGAACCCTTAGCCAAGCCATAGGAATAACAGCCCAGGGGAGGAACCTTGCCAACCCACCAGACCCTGAGGTGCACTGGGCAGTCACTGGTGGCACACGGGGCCAGCCTTCAGCTGGTGTTTGGAAGCCCATGTGCTGTGGGCTTCTGCCTTGGCCTCTGGGGGTCATAACAACAGAAAGGCTACACTTCCGGCACTCTTAAGCTCGTGCAGGATTGTACAGTCTACGGTTATAAGTAATCAATATAACAAAGAATTAGTCATGTCAACTGGATTTGTTAGTATCTGAATATTTGGTTTCAAAAACAAGTAAGCATGCTAAAAATTTAACTTTAGTAAAAATAAAATCTAATTGTTTAAATTCTATCCAGTTAATTGAGGTATAAAAATGCGTATTTATGACTGCAAAAATAAAATGCAAACAAAATATATGCTAGCACAGGATGAACCCTGAAGACATGTAAAGTGAAATAAGCCAGAGACAAAAGAACAAATATTTTATGGTTTCTTTACAGGAAATATCTATAGTAGGCAAATTCATAGAGACAGAAATTAGCCAGGCCTGGTGGCATGTGCCTGTAATCCCAGCTACTCCGGAAGGTAAGGCATGAGAATCACTTGAGCCCAGGAGGCAGAGGTTGCAGTGAGCCAAGACTGTGCCACTGCACTCCAGCCTGGGTGACAGAGTGAGACCCTGTATTAAAAGAAAAAAAAAAAAAAAAAAGACAGAAATAAATGAGACATTACCAGGATCTGAGGGGAGGTAGGATTGGGACTTCGTGCTTAATGTTTTTGACATGATGAAAAAGTTTTGGAAATAGTGGTGATGGTTTTGGAAATAGCGGTGATGGTCATGCCACACTGTGAATGTCATTAATGCCAATGAATTATACACTTAAAAATAGTTAAAATGGCAAATTTTATGTTACACACATTTTACCACAATAAAAACAATTCAAAAAGAGAATAAAATGCTACATTAATGAATTGTTAAGTCCAACGCAAAAAAATTAAAATCTTCAAAGTAAATATAGAAACAAACTAATAGGAAATACAAATATTAGTTAACTTTAGAAAAAACTTATCTTTTTCCAGCAACAAATGTCTTTTTAAAATTAGGAAGAATTATAAAGATGAAATTCTATCATGATTCAAATCTCAGTATTTGGTGTACCTGTAACTTTCACATTAAGCAAAATAACCTTTTAAAACTACATTTAATTTTTATTTTTTAATTCTATTTAGGCCATAAGTGTTTTTTAAGTCTTATTTGCGAATTCTTTTGGGAATTCTGAGGAAATTGTAAGATCTCAATTTTGCCACATTAAAATATCCCAAGGACAAAAATATCCAAAATTCTACACCACCCATGATAAATCACAACAAACATAAAAAGTTTAAAGAAGAAAAGGTTAGAGAAAAATAAAGTAGTCCCGAATCAAACTTCACAAGGACAGAATTTATAGAAATGCATTAATAACATTTCTTATAGTTTTCAAAGTCTATTAAAAGGCTGCCAAGTGGTAAAAAGGAGTTTGATGAGGAGAAAACAAAAGAAAAGGCTGCTGAGGACTGCTAAGCATTTTTCAGAAATTAAAGACCAAACATTTTTGAGATTTGTCCAAGCTATGAATCTGAAGTAGAAAGTTTCTTCTAGAAACTATATTAGTGGGAGATGGTTCCAACTGGTGATGCTGCTGAGTGGGCTGGTTGAGTGGAGCCCCCATGTGCCAGCAGCGGTGCTGGGCCATATGCTGACCTCAGCAGGAGCTAGGGAGCTAGGGGGCGGGGAGTGGGGAGGATCACAGTTTAACAAGGCAGCCATAATGGTAATGTTATAGAACTGTTAATAAGAAGCTGGATAATAATTACATTTTGGTAAATCTGCAGATTTATTCTTGCATCTTAAAAGTTCATTTCTGGCTTTGGCCTCAGTCTACTATAATTTTAACATTTTACCGTTCAGCAATTGTCCAAACTCAGCCATAAGTGAGCTTCCTCCAGATAGACAGTTTGGAGCTATGAAGCCACAGAACTAAATCTCCTTGGAATCCAATACAGCATTATCTATAGGAGCAAGACAAATGTACTTCTAGAAATGTATCCTACAGATACACCACCACATGTGCAACATGGCTGACTCATTTGTGACTACTTTCCTCTTACAATAACTCTTACAATAACTGTGACACTGTGGATGTTTTGGACCAAATTAATTCTTTTTGAAGGGCTGTCCTATGCATTGCAGGATGTTCAGTAGCATCCTTGGCCTCTACCCACTAGATGCCAGGCACTTCTGAGTCGTGTTAAGTAAAAATGTCTCCAGACATTGCTACATGTCCCCAGTGGAACAAATTTGCCCCTGGTTGAGAATCACTACATAAATGCTTCTTTATGTAACCCTATAACTACCAGGACACAGATAACACAAAGCTTTTCTGCTGACAGAAAGCGCAGTAAAAACACCTCTCTGGGTAATGTGATGGGTAACTCACCTAATATCCACATAACCTTGGGCTCAGTGGGCACACAGTAAGAGTGCTAAAAAGACAGCCATTTGATTTTCTGATGAGGCTGCCAAAACAATTCAATAAAAAAGGAACAGTCTTTTCAACAAATGGTTCTGGGACAACTGGATATTCACATGCAAAATAATGAAGTTGGACCAACCCCTTCCTTACGCCCTACATGAAAATTAACTACAAATGGATCATAAGCCTACACATAAAAGTCGAAACTATAAAACTCTCAGGAGAAAACACAAGCATAAACCTTTGTGATTTTTAGATTAGGCAATGGGTTCTTACACATGAAATCAGAAACACAAACAACAAAAGAAAAAACATAAATTGGACTTCATTGAAATTTAAACCTTGTGTGTGTCAAAAGACACTATCAAGAAACTGAAAAGACAACTCAAAGAATAGGATATTTATAAATCATATATAAATGATAAAGATCTAGTATCCAGAATATATAAAGAACTCTTATAATTCGACAATGGAAAGACAAAGAACCCGAATAAAAAATGGGCAAAGGATGTGAATAAACATTTCTCCGAAGACAATATATAAGCGGCCAATAAGCACATGAAAAGACGCTCAACATCCTTAGTCGTTGAGGAAATGCAAATCAAAACCACAATGAGATATTACTTCATTACCCACTAGAATATCTATAATCAAAAAGACAGACAAGTGCTGGCAAGAATGCGGAGAAACTGGGACCTTCATACATTGCTGGTGGGAATGTCAAATGATGCAGATGGCTTTGGAAAACAGCTGGCAGTTCCTTGAAAGGTTAAACAGTTACCACTGGACCCAGCAATTCCACTCCTAGGTATATAACTGAAAGAAATTAAAACCATATCCACTTAAAAATGTTGTACATAGGCCGGGTGTGGTAGCTCACAGTAATCCTAGCAGTTTGGGAGGCTGAGCCAGGAGGATCCTTGGAGCCCAGGAGTTCAAGACCAGCCTGGTCAACAAAGTGAGACCCCATCTCTACTTACAAAAAAAAAAGAAAGAAAGAAAAAAAAAAAAAAGTTGTACACAAATATTCAGAGCAGCATTATCATAATAACCCAACAACCCAATGTCCATCAACTAATGAATGGTTAATAAGATACACTATTAAATATTCCATATAATAGAATACTATTCAGCTGGAAAAAGAAATAAGTACTACGCATACTACAACATGGATGAACCTTGAAAACATCACGCCAAGTGAAAGAAGCCAGTCACAAAAGACCAGATTATATGGTGTTATTTATACAAAATTTCCAGAAAAATCAAATCTATAGAGACAAAATTGATTAACGGCTGCCGGTGGATGGGGGGTAAGGGTGCAGAAGGGACGGTGACTGTTGATGGGTACAGTTTCTTTTTGGGTTGATGAAAATGTTCTAAAATTGATTGTGGTGATAGCTGCACAACTCTGTGAATACACTAGAAACCACACAAAAAATTGTATTTTGTATGAATTATGTCTCCATAAAGTTGTTTTTGTTTTTTGGTTTGTTTGTTTGTTTTTGAAACACTATCTGCCACAGGGTTACACTGAACAGAGACCATACTGTTTCTTTTTTCTTTTTTTTTTGAGATGGAGTCTCGCTCTGTCGCCCGGGCTGGAGTGCAGTGGCCGGATCTCAGCTCACTGCAAGCTCCGCCTCCCGGGTTTACGCCATTCTCCTGCCTCAGCCTCCCGAGTAGCTGGGACTACAGGCGCCCGCCACCTCGCCCGGCTAGTTTTTTGTATTTTTTAGTAGAGATGGGGTTTCACCGTGTTAGCCAGGATGGTCTCGATCTCCTGACCTCGTGATCCACCCGTCTCGGCCTCCCCATACTGTTTCTTAAGTTTTGATGCTTTGGTGCAACAAAGTGACTTTCAGTGAGAAACTCCTACAAGAACTCCTAATCCCAGGGGCTATACCTCAATATGAAAAGAAAATCTCCCAGTTTTCAAGCTGGGATCAGTGCTGGGCTCTCATCTAACAGTTCAGGATCCTGAGCTTGGAAGGGAAGGCACTTCTTACGGTGTCAAGTTAGGGAAGAGCTAGGCAAGTGGGCAACAGAACTTTGCCTCCCTGTCATCCATGGATGGACCTTTCCCAGGAGTCTGGAGCGTCAAGAGGCCCAGGGACAGGTGCTTCTTCTAGAATGGCTCCCACATCAGCTGTCCACAGGGAGAGGTGACCTAAAGGATTTGGGGGCTGCTTGTCAAGGTCAGGAGGGGCTATAAAGAGGCCTCATGCCTTTCTGGGTTCTCAGAGATCCCTGAGGCCAAGCCATGTCTACAGGACAGACCAGGCAGGGGCATGAAATCAGCTTCCAAGAGGGCAATACTCTAGGACTGGCCTGGGTGACAACTTTGCACTCACTTTTTCTACTCTTCACATAATTCTGCAAAAAAGGTGCTGATATTCCCATTTCCTGATGAGGATGGTAAGATTCAAAGAGGTCAAGGAACTCGCCTGGGTCATGAGCTTCCACATGACTCCAATGCCTGTAATTTTTCCATGTGGGAACCAGGCTAGTGCTGGAATTCATGCTCCATAAAACACAACAGCCATCAGAGAGTGGGCTCACTTCTGAGGCTCAATCCACAAGGGTCATTTACACAGGGAGGGGTGAGCGGCAAGAAGCTGAGAGGGAGCGTACACTACCTGGAAAAGAACACTCCTAGAGGCTGCATTTTCACAGCAGTCTGTTGTCAGCATTCAACAGTTTCCCACTGCCATCTCCAGGCAGCACCCCATCAAAGCTCCATCCCCGCTCACAGCCCAGAGACCACTGGAAAGCAGTGTGGGAGAGCAGTGAGAGCATGGAGTTTGGATCTAGACGTTCCTCTGGGCTCAGGTTCCAGTGGCAACACTTTCTAGCCTATGGCCTGGGCAGGTAACCTCCCATTTGAGTCTGGAGATAACCTCAGCTGCTCACAGGGTTGTCAGGGTGTCCTGGGAGGACATGAGATGGCCCATGTAGAGCGCTCTGGATAGTTTCTGACACAGAGGAAGCCCTCAGTTAGTCACCTCCCTTCCCCCTTCCTTTCCTTGAGAGCTCTAGAGATCAGATGTGAGTCTGGCGGGTAAGGAAGCCCTGTAGTTCCCCTCTAGGGGTGGAGTCTGTGGGAAGCACGTCAGATGGCTATTATTGTTGGCTATTACTTTTTTCATCACCATGTTGACATTATTATCACCACTACAACAAATTTCCTATTAGAACACAGTGCCAAAATTCTCTTTCAGAGCAAACAACCGAATCTGGGTTGCTTGAACCGACCTGCCTAAAGATCCATGCTCTGAGCGCCTTTCTTCCACTTGGGTAATTGCAGTCTGGCAAGGAGTCTCCACAACCTCTAGCAGCCCTTGATCAAATCAGCCCAGATGGGGCTGGGGTCAAATCTCCCAGGTTTCAGGCTGACCAGAGCTTTGTCTCCAATGAGCAGGTTCTGAGATCAAGGCCACCTTTGTGTGCACCTTAGTCCTGAGTGGGATGGGACTGAGAGACCTTACTTCTGGGGGTGAGAGATGCCAGGCTCTGCAGGCATCTGCTGGGCTGGGTTCCCTACTGTGGAGGGAGGGAAGCCTATTAGCAGAGCTCCCCAGCAGGGGGCACCATCTGTCCAAGGCTGAGCCCTTTCACCAGCTGCACTGTCAGGCTTCAGCCTGGCCTGGCCAAGGCTAAGAAAGTCCAGCCAGCCACAGGCATGCCAGGCATACCAGGCAGAAGGCCCACATGCATCTGTCTCCAGAAGCTGCCCAGGTAGCCATGCTGGATCTGGCATACACTTTCTCTCCAAGACTTAGGAAGCACTTATGACAGTGGTCTTGTCCAGAGAGCATCATGGACGGGGATTCAGAGTAGCTGCAAGATGCTGCCACATGGACTTGAATCATGCATTCGATTCCTAATTGCAAGTGAAAGAAACCACATGAGCGGGAAGGCCTGTTGCTATACTGCAGTGCTCACAGCACTACAGAACCCCCTCTGTGGGGCCTACCCAGAGCCAGCAACACCAGAGTTTGCATTTTTTTTTTTTTTTTAATTATTTTTAGAGATGGGGTCTCGCTGTTGCCCAGGTGGGAGTGCAACAGCTATTCACAGGTGCAATCATTGCACACTACAGCCTTAAACTTCCAGCCTCAAGCCATCTTCCCGCTTCAGCCTCCCTAAGAGTACACTACAGGAGCGTACCACTGTGCCCAGCTTGGACAGTCTTAATAATAAAGCTTCTCTATTAAGAGCAAACTAAAATCTTAGATAGGGCCCACCATCATTCAGAGCTGAGTTAGGTAAATCAGCAGTTTTGATTTCAAACTCAGTTTGGCTCCAGCTGTGTCCTGAGATACTCATGGGCCACAGGGTGTCTTTCCAACTCCCACCGCCTCCACTGCCCTGAGCATGCAGCCTCAGGGACTTTGTCCCCACACTACTCTATTGCAGGCTTGAAAAGAGGCCCCTCATTACCCACCTTTGTGCCCCAAGCACTGCAGGGACCAGGCACTAATGTTTAAACAGGATGACAGAAAACCAAAAGAGTAATAAAACTACCAGGTACTGGGAATACTGACACTGGGCTTGAGAGATGGGAAGATGGGATGTTCTCTAGGACCACGAGCCTGGAGAGTGCTTAGGAGAAAAAGCAACCCCAGGAAGGTCCCTGACCCAGCTTTGGGCCAATCTTGGCAGGATTAGCACCATAGGAACACTTGTCTTCAGGGGTCAACATCTGCCCTGCCCAAAGGCAGCCAAAGGGATGAGAAGGAGTGGAGCGGGGGGATGGAAAGAACCAGTGTGGTTCAGAGGTCTGGGATAGAAAGAAAATGCTGGTTTTGTTATCAGAAGGAGCTGGGTTCTTATCCTGTCTTTTTGATGAGGGACAAGTTATGATTCCAGTTTCCTTATTTGAAAAATGATGTCAATAATGCCTACCTCTCAGAGTGCAGGTGAAGACTGAAGACGTTCATGTGTATAATGTCATCAAAGGCTAGCCCTGTCTGATCTCACCTTTGTGCACGCCAATTGAATGACCAGACTGTAGTATCACACCCCAGAGATCACATGGGAGACCCTCATCATGAGTGAAAGGGCAGCTGCTGCCTTTGGTGACTAGGGAAATGAGACCAGAAGCAAGCCACTTGGCACGTTTTCCTTCAAAAACAACGTGACCTCCCCTCATCCCCATCCCACCTCGTGGGGTTTAGCGAGATCCTGAGGAACAAACGAGCCCAGATGGAAGGTAAAAAAGCCTTGTGGCTGGCAGGCAGCCATCCTACCTGATGACACAGTTGCCTCGGTTGGATGCAAAGATGACGATGGGGGCGATAGAAGACTCCAGAGCGCGGTGCAGGTAGGTGAAGCACTCAATGTCCAGCATGTGGACCTCATCAACAAACAGCACACCTGGGACCAGCTCAGCAATGCCCTGGTCGATGTACTTGTTCACCACCTTATTAATCTCCCCTCGAAGTTTGTCTAGGAGATGCAAGGATGGGCAGGCAAAGTCAGCACAGGGCTGGGAGAGACTATCGCCTTTTCTCCTCCACCTGAATTCAATCCAAACCCACGCTGGGAGCCTAGTTTTCCTACTAGCTATGTGATCCCTGACAGGGTGTGTCCCCACTCCCGGCTTCAGTGTCATCATCTGAACACAGTGATAATCACACCTAAAGGTCACAACATTGGCAGCCTCCCCCAAAAGATGTGTTTGGTAAAATGTAAAAAGGTAGCACGGGTGTTCTGCATGGGAATCCCTTCACGGCACATGCTCACTGCTGTCACACTCCCTACCATGCCTTATCACCACCCACACACCCAATGTAGCTCTGTCTGATCTAGGAGACACTGGAGTTTAGGAGCCCTGAGTGAAATGAGTTTTCACATGCAAATTTTCCTATTCTATACTCAGTAAATGACCCTTTCTTTTGGTCCCATACAACAATGCTCAGGTTAATTAACTTTCAATCAAGTGCCTGGACTAAGGAAGTGGGTGCTTTTAGAATCCTGAGCAGAAACCTTCGAGGAATGAAAGGCTCTGAAGAAAGGCCCAATCTCAGAGCTCCTAGAGGGATGAGTCTCTCAAAAGTTACATAACCCAGCTAAGGTCTCAGTGATCATTTTCCAAACCAGCTCCTGTGTTATTGTCAGGAGGGAGCAGCTCACAAACAGAAAACTGGAAGATCTGAGGCAGCGTCTTCCACCAAAGGCACGAGGCCGGGATTGTCCGAAGAGGATGCACACTGAAAATCATGTGAAAAGAAAGAAACTGCTCCTGACAACTCAAACAGAAAGGTCTCAGATTGCTGCCCTGGCTAAAACTTTAAAGATAATATTTGCTTTTAATGTTTAACTAACATCTTAAAGTGACGAAATTGTAGGTGGAATTAGAAAAAAAACAGCAACAGGAAAGCTGGGAAGAGTCGCAGGGTAAAATAAAGGTTCACAGGAGAGCAGCAGCAGTGTCCCCTGTGGAGCTCTAGGAAGAGCCCACGAACTGGACAGGGCAGTGCGTGGAGCTGGTCTGTGAAGCTGCCCTGTGCTCTACTAGGGAGGGGCTGACAGCACCAAGGCTCCAAGTCTGTGCTCGGGCAGAGCTGGGTGAAATAAATCCACATTTCTGGGGCCTCACAGGGACCAGAAACTGTGACTGCAGTGGGGCAGAGACCACACAGTGTGCTTGCTGTATGGCTGCCTAAATAATGCCAGAGACTAAGGCTAGAGTCAAGCTCTGAACTATGAGGAAGAAGGAACTGTTCTGAGGCATTTTCTCAGGGCGGATGTGCTCACAGAGCCGCAAGAGCATCTCAGAATGTAGGGCCCTCCACCCTGCCCCTTGCTCGCAGGCCACGCTGGTTCTCCTACCTGTGATTTCTGTCTTCTTTGGCTTCATTAGCTGGCCCATCATGGACAGGATATCTTGTCCCCCCTGCATAAGAGAAGACTTAGAGTCAGTGCTGCTTTGTAAGGTGACTACAGAAGCCTCATTCCCCTGCATCCCACTCATCAACTCAACATGGGATCCTGAGGTAAGGAGACCCCTCCTCAAAGCCTGAGGAGCTTCTAAACATAGAGGAATTTTTAGAGGTTCCCCTGACCTGTGAGAATCAAACAAAATCCTTTCATGGTAAGTATAAGCTCCGTGGGGCCTGCCCAGCCTCCTTCTCCAGCCCTATCTTTTTCCAATCCCTTGTTCCTTGATTAGCCACATGAGACTACCAGCCCTGCCCTGGACACCCGCAAGCTCTTTTATGACTCAATGCTTTTGAGTCTATTCCATCTGCCAGGAATGCCATTCTCCTTCCTAGGAAGTTCCCAGTCATTAAAGTTCAAGTCAAATGCCCTCTAGGGGGCATCTGACCCTAACCAGACTCATGACTTCCTCCCAATGTTTCTGTGCCTTTGGGGACACACGGACTACAAGAGTAAGTATAAAGAGTAAGTATAAATATACCATGATTATACTGCTGTGCCTCCTCTCACTAGATTTGACCACAGGCTTGCATCAGCCTAGTCCTTACTTAACCTGGAGCTACTCAGCCTATGGGCCCCTCCCTGTGGAATGGCTGACTCCATAACAGGTTCACCACTCACCTGCATCCTCCTATGGGCTCCTAAGAGTGCAGTCAGCAAGAGGAAGAGGCTGGTGTTTGGTCATTTGTTCAGCATTTAGTGATCACCTGTTAGTTACCAGGCCCTGAGACACAGAGGTGCTCACTAAATGCGGAATAGCTAAAGGCAGCAAATGTTTCCTGTCTGGTCCTCAAAACTGCCTTGCCAGGTAGGAGAAAACTCAAAATCAGAACCCTAAACCACAGAAAACCCAGAGACCCAAAGTGACAAATTAACCAAGCTGGTCAGTGATGGAGCAACACAATTCCTGACTTCTGACTCCCAGCCCAACACTCTTCTCAGGTCAAGGGCTCCCAGGAGTTCAGTTTGCGGATGGCCACTTCACCAACCAAGGGGACCTGTTGGTCCAAGATAAGTCTTCAGTAATCTCTTGACCAAAGCTCCAAGGAACAAAATACCCATGGATCAAATTTCAAGTCAGAAAACAAACTATCCCCTAATAGTGAGGAGGTCTTTTTTAGGATGAAGATGAAACCAAACTGGAAGACCATCACAAGAAACAGTGGTGTCTTGTTTCTTTTAATCACATATTTCCTACAAATGCTGTAAAGTGATAACATCCTTTCCTACATTTTACTAGTCAAGGCATAAGTATCCATCTGCATGAGAAGCAGACAACAGTACCAGCTCAAAGCTAAAACACTGTGGCTTTTGCTAAGCAGGGGGAAAGAAAGAGCTTTGTCAGGCTTTCTGAAATCCTATAACGGGCTCACAGAACACTCCTGCCCTCCTGCCATTAACACCCAGAGAATCCCAGGCGTGAGCCCACTGCTGGAGTAAAGCCATGGAGGAAGCTGGCTAGCTCAGGGCCAGAGGCTTGGCTGGGATAAGAAACAATACACATGAAATCATCTGTGACTAGAGCATTTGAATGGGAACAAAGGAGTCCCTCGTAGCTCATGTCGATGTTAATTGCTGAACATTACAGATAGAAAAGGACCGTCTGCCTCAAGAAAGGCAGCAAGACTCTGACAATTCATTCTCAGACCTCCACGCACATACAAAAGGGCTAGTGTGCCAGGTCACCCAGGCATCGAGGCAGTACCTGGGGCCGTGCATTAGCCACATCCAAGTCATGCAAGGTCACATCTTGGATGATTTCTTTCTTTTTGTGCACATCCCCTTTTGGCAAGGGGACATACTCTTCAGCTTCAAGGTCGAATTCTGTGGCATAGGTATCACACCTGCCCTGCCTCTGCAAAAAGAGAGAAAAATGAGTGCCTGGTGAGTTTTCACTGCCAAGTCCCCAAATGGCACAGGGCTAAGTGAGATAAAGGTCTCAGTTCCCACTGCGGGCCTGACAGCCTACTTGACAAACTCCAAATATGCCCCACTCCCTTGCTGCCAAGAGAAGGGAGTTATCTGCTCATCGCTGGGCTCCAAAAACTGGGTTGAAAAACACCTGATACTTTCCCCCAAAATCCTTTTTCCCTTCTTTCTTTTAACTGTATGCAATTCCTGATAAAGGGCAAATCCAGTAGATTAACTGGAGGCGGAGGAGCTGCTCAGACTCTTTTGTAGGTGGGTGATTTATTGTTGATATGAAGTATTATGCCCATCCATTAAACAGTGAGGAACACTGTACAGGACCCTGAAAATCAGATAGAAAAGAATGCCAACGAAAGCAGCGTTCCTTCCCACATGCATATATCTTGGGAAGAAAATACCAAAGAGATAAAAGGAAGATTAAATACACTGCACATTTCAATTTGAAAATGACTAAAGTTGTTTTGGTTTCTCACCCTGTCCTCCCCCTCTGAACAGGTTTTAGTATTTTTTCTAACAGACTGCCTGTTTTAATCGTGAGAAGGTTAAAGAATGAAGATAAAAGGAAGGCAAACTTTATTATACATAAAGGGCCACTAGTTGACCTTCCATCAGCCTCATAACAGACACCAGCCCCTCCCCACACACCCCATACCCTCTGAAGAAAACAACTCCCTTGTCACGTAGGTATTCTCATGGCAAACAAATCAGGGACAATGCTGTGTCCCAAGGAAGGCATTACCTTCACAGCCCCACTGTTGGCTTCTATGTAAATCACATCTCCAGCCTCTACTCGCTCTTTCTGCAAACTTTCAAAAATGCTGGGGTCCAGCTAAAAAAAAAAATGTAAATCAGAAGTGTAATACATATTCTATTTCCTTCAGACACCATGTAAGGTACCTTTTCATAAGGGATCTGAGGTAGCTAGCAAGTGCATGGAGAAAGCCTGTTCTGCATGTGCATGTATACTGGGACCTGCAGGAATGTGAATGCACGAGTACCACACGAGAGACTGGCTCGGGGACTAAGCACATCAGGGAGAGAATAGGGGGGCCAGCATACCTGCATCCCTGTGTAACAAGCATGAGAGGGACACATGGGACAGCTACTCTTCTCTTTCCCTTGATTCCAAAGGCTGTAAACTGGCAGCAGCGTTTTTATAAGGATGGTCCTGGCTGCCCTGAGATGGGTGGGCCCGGCCCCCACTGTCCACAGGACCACAGACCCTATCACCCCCTTGAGATCATCATCCCTGCTTCACTCCTTCATTTGCCTCACCTCAGGTGGGGTGGAACTTTCTGCAACTGAAGTACCTGCCAGCACCTGCTTACCAATCTCAAGGCTGGCATCTTGCAGGGCCTATGATTTTGGATAAGGTTCTCAGTTCTAAGTTTCCTCATCTATTGCACCCTGGTGCAATCACAGATGTATATAGTAATTCAAAGAAAAGCATAAATGAGAATCTTTCCCAAGCCTTTTGATTCACATCCCAGTGTTTGTGCCCTTGGGTCTGCCTGCTTGTATCTCCAGGAAAGGAAATAAGCAGATTTAGGGAACTGTTGCTTTTCTCCAGATTCTGGTGACCCTCAGTGATTAACATTCTAGGACAGCTGCCTTTGTAAGGATTCTGTAGTTAAACATAAGTTTCTCGAGGTCTTCATGGAGAGCTATGTGATATAATGTAACTATGGTGGAAAAAAACTTGGGCTTTGCCCCAAACAAAATTAAAAAGTAACAACCCAGGGCTTGGTGAAAGAAGCCAGATACAAAAAAAGACATACACTGTATGTTCCATTCATATGAAATGTCCAAAAGAAGGCAACCAAAAGCAGATTAGTAGTTGCCGAGGTCTATAATTGGAATGGGGAATGACTGTAAATGAGCAGGAGGATTCTTCTTGGGGCGATGAAAATGTTCTGAAATTAAGATTGTGGTGATTGTACAACTGTGAAAATACATTAAAATTCCTGGAATTGTATACTTAAAATGGGTGAGTTTTATTTAAAATGCTATCTCAATAAAGCTTTTAAAAAACTACCACCATAGCAGGAAACCAAGGGCTCTGCCTCTCCTTGGCTGGGTGGGGACAGCAGCCCCTGGCAGAACTGCTGTGAGCCTGTGCGCCTAAGGACAAAAGTGGGTGAGGCCCTCAGGTAAGGCCTGGCACGAAGGGGTTAGGAGTACTAACGGCATTCTCATTGCGAGGACTCAGAAGACTCCTTCAGACTTGAATATCCACCAAGTATTTGAGCACCTTCTATCCAAACATCTTGTACATATTCTAAAAGTACCTAAAAGTATTCATTTTGGAAGAAAAATTTCATCTTCTCCTCTACATTATTTTTGTAAAGAAGCTGTACAAAGCAGCGTTACAAATAGCTGAAATTTAAACTGTATGCCTTATTTTATCTGTCCTACATTGGAGAATATACTTCTTTTTTGCCTCAAGCATTTTTATACCGGTTAATTTCCCAAATGAATTGACTGAAGATGTAATTACTGGAAAGGTGGCAGATGCTACTGAGAAATCTAATTAATTCAGAATGGAAGTGACAAGGGGTAGGTATAAAAGAGATATTTGCAGAGGCAAGCTCCTGAGATTGAAACCCTGTTAGGAAAAAGAAAAATGGCCCTTTGAAGAAGTGACATTTTTATGATCTCCATAAAGCAGTGACCAAGAAACAACCTTAGAGAATCAAAGAACCATAAAATCGTAGAACAGAATAAAGATGGAGAAATTATATGGTCAATTTCCTGCAGTTTATAGATGAGAAAACTGAGTCCCAGAGAGCTCAACTGACTTCCAAAGGTCACACAGCAAGCTGGTGGGCAGACGGCACAACAGTTAGGGCTCAGGGGGTCAGCTCTGCCACCTGACTGGCTGGATGATCCCAGGATAACCATGTAACCTCTTTATAAGCCTTCATCTGTAACATGAGGGAAATTATACACACACACACACACACACACACACACAAATATATATACATATAAAGTTATAAATGACAATAAATGAAATGTTTGTTGAAGCACTTAGTCCAAGGCCTGGCACATACAATAAATGAGAGCTACAATGATAATATTTATTAATAATAATAAGGCAAAGCCTAAAATCTGGACTGTTTCATTTCTCCAAGTGAAGGCTCTCACGATAACATTAACAGTTATCATTCATTAGGTAACTCGGTGCCACACCCAAAGCCATAACCCTGAAAGACAGGCAATTATTATTCCCATTCAACAGATAAAGAAACTACTATTCAGAGATTAATGCTACAGAGTTGTAAGTAACAAAGTCAGGGATTCCTTTAGGACTTAGACTCCAAAACTCATGCTCTTCCCCTAGAAACTCTACTGCCTCCATCCTAAAGACTTATAGGACAGGTGGCTGAGGAGTGTCTTCGAGGGCTATCCAGTGTCGCCATTCTGGCCTCTCCACAAAGCCCTGTACTGAGCAGAACCAGCCACTGAAGCGACCACAGGTTCCTGACACAAGCAACTGCAGTCAGGATTCTGCATGTGGCCCCTGGGAAGTCCATCCATCATCTTTATACAACTCTCATTTGATTACTCAGTGCTGTTTCTTTCTATGAGCATGGGCATTGATAACTGGAAAAATTAAAGCCCAGGTTCAGACCCAGCCCAGCGTATTTGACGCATGGTCATAATATGGGACATGGAATGGCAGAGGTAGTTTCTTGACTTAATCACATAGCTCACGTTTTAACATGAAGAGTTTCCTAGGAGTAAGTAAGTAAGAAAAGAACTATCTTCCTTGAGTTCTCCCATGTGCAAGCCCTGTGCTAGGTACTGCTTTTTTTTTGAGACGGAATCTCGCTCTGTCGCCCAGGCTGGAGTGCAGTGGCGCAATCTCAGCTCACTGTAAGCTCCGCCTCCCGGGTTCACGCCATTCTCCTGCCTCAGCCTCCCGAGTAGCTGGGACTACAGGCGCCCGCCACTGCGCCCAGCTAATTTTTTTCTATTTTTTAGTAGAGACGGGGTTTCACCATGGTCTCAATCTCCTGACCTTGTGATCCGCCCGCCTCGGCCTCCCAAAGTGCTGGGATTACAGGTGTGAGCCACCGTGCCCAGCCGCTAGGTACTGCTTTATACACACAATATCCTCAACCAGTTCTGTGAGAAATCAACACTTGCAGTGCACAGGTCAGGACACCGGATGCAGAGAGGCTACAGCACCTGCCCAAAGCCACAGTGCTGGTAGAGTCAAGAGAAAAGAGGCCACAAACATGTACTCACTTTCAACTGTTTGGTTCCTTTGGCTGTTTTGAGTCCTATGATCACATGGCTAATGGTTTTGCCATATCCTCCCATGGGATTCTCTGTCTCACACGGAGTTAGCTCTGTGACTTCACCTTCATAAACTTCCTTGGTCTCCTTTATTCGCAGCCCTGGAAGAGGTGGCAGAGGGGTCATGGTGAGAAGCAGAATCTTTTCTCTCACACTGAGAGCCCAAAACTTCCATGTCACCAGAACTCACAAATCAACTTCAATAATGTACATACCAGGGTGTCATGATGGGTAAAAAGGCAATACAAACATATCAATGTAAATCAGAGGTACTATTAGAAATGCAACTTTTTTTTTTTTGAGACGGAGTCTTGCTCTGTCGCCCAGGCTGGAGTGCAATGGCGCGATCTCAACTCACTGCAACCTCCACCTCCTGGGTTCACTCCATTCTCCTGCCTCAGCCTCCCAAGTAGCTGGGACTACAGGCGCCCGCCACAATGCCCGGTTAATTTTTTGTATTTTTGGTGGAGATGGGGTTTCCCCATGTTAGCCAGGATGGTCTCGATCTCCTGACCTTGTGATCCACCCGCCTTGGCCTCCCAAAGTGCTGGGATTACAGGCGTGAGCCACTGCGCCCGGCCTAGAAATGCAACTTTTTAAGGGAACTTTCTGGGTTCAAATCCAGAACTAGATAGACAAGTTATAATTCTCAAAATTGTCTGCTCCATTTCCAAGGGGCTGAAATTTACCTCTAGCCTTTAATCCAGTCTCTGAACCCACACCATTCTATTCCACCAGAACAGTGGCTATCAAAACTCCTGTAGCCTTGTTTCCTGAATTTTTGACTCTCAAAGAAAATCTTAAAACCAATGGAATAACTCACTACACATCCTCTGACACTATCAAGCCTGAGCAGGACATAATAAAATAATTAGGTATCTATGTCAACAGTGGGTAACACTCGACCCTGCCAGGTGTTATGGCCTCTGGCTCACTGCGTACTCCAAGAAGAAATACCCAGCTGTCATGCATTACTTGCAATGTGTTGCTCTACAATTTTCTTTTTTTTCTTTTTCTTTTTTTTTTTTTTTTTGAAATAGAGTCTCGGTCTGTCACCCAGGCTGGAGTGCAATGGTGTGATCTTGGCTCACTGCAAGCTCCGCCTCCCAGGTTCAAGTGATTCTCCTGTTTCAGCCTCCCAAGTAGCTGGGATTACAGGCGTGCATCACCACATCTGGCTAATTTTGGGGTTTTTTTCTATACTTTTAGTAGAGATAGGGTTTCATCACGTTGGCCAGACTGGTCTTGAATTCCTGACCTCAGGTGATCCACCCATCTCGGCCTCCCAAAGTGCTGGGATTACAGGTGTGAGCTACCACACCCAGTTGCTCTACAATTTTCTAAGTCCATAACACATTAGAATATTGCAAATAAAGGTAAATTTCTCTCCAAATTCTAAACATCATCCCCATTAGCTCTTTAATAAACATTTGTTCATTATCCAAGAATGGTTGTTAAATTAATTTTTAGAACATGATCTCTATGTTCATTACATGCTTTTGCATATAATGGCTCTGCTTCCTGAACCACTCTTTTGAGCTTAGGCAACTCCTCCTTGCAGACTCAGTTTAAAACTTATCCCCTCCCCCTTCACACATCCTTCTTCCTCATCCTCCAAATTGTCCCCATGGTGACCTGTGTTTCCACTGGCACAGCACCAGCACATGGCAATGCCGTAACTTGCAGACCTTGCCTATCCCTCTGTAGACTGCCCACACCTGAGCTGAGGGCCTAGCACATTGGCAGGTAGAGTGAATGGATGAATGAATGAAGTCACTAAGAGTGAAGAGGTTGTCATTAGGCAGACCACCTATTAGTAATACCCAAGAAACGAACCTGCGGGTACATTTACATGTTCTATATGGTAATGACCTGAGAACTCTAAGGAGTCAGTCATGTAATGTTATAGCCTGTATCACCGTAACACCCTCAACCTCGGCACTAAAAGTCAGGCATAACTGAACTATACTGTTAGAAATCAAGACTACCATTAACTTGGGTAAGGAAGGATGGCAACCGGGAGTGGACATGAAGGGTACTTTGGAGTTCTGGCAACATTCCCTTTTTTTATTAGCTGCTGGTTTCATAGGTTTTTACTTTACAATAATCCACCAAGTTATGCATTTATGTTCTGCACATTTTTCTGTACATATGCACAAAATTACCAAGTCTACTTTAAAAAAAAATTTAAGTAAATAATACCAGTGAGACCCAGTGAAGTAAGACCACTGATGGCCTAAGTTTAGGAAATACTACTCTAAACCTCTGCTGGAGCCTATGGTCATGGTTCTCAACCTTTAGGTCCACCTGAGGGGCCCCTATAATGAATCATGCCCTGGCTGTACCCAGACCACTTGCTTCCAAATCCCAGGGGATGGGCCCCTGCCATCACTATTAGTTTAAAACTCTGCCCTTGATTCCAAAGTACAGACACAGTTGAGATCCAGTTATCTAAAGAATAAATGAAAAACTATTCAACTTACAAATGTGGAGACATAAACTAGTTCTGACAGCAGGGTGGCATGATAAGGACTTGGTGTTCTCACCATTAAGCTACCTCTGTTCTGATATGGAAATATTCCAATGGCACTAAGAAACACTACCTATGGTGTCAGGTACACTCAGTAACTTCTCACTTTTAAATGTGGTCATTATCTTATCATTGGGCCGTTTGCCTTCTTTACCCCAGAAACCCAGTCAGGACAAAGACTCTCAGATATTAAAGTTAAGGAAAAGTTTTACTCTACCTTCATTCCATCTAATAGCCTATAAATGGAAGTTTTGGAATAGCCCCAAAAGAGAGGACTCATTTCATTTGTGCTTTACCAAATTCTTAGTTCTTGAACATCAATCTTAGACAAAAATTCTCCAAACAACATGAATATATCAGAACATTGTGGTAAACTTGGAAAATCCTGTACTTTAAAAGTGAACTTTGATTTTTTAAAAATCAAACCTTTTATATCCCACAGTGATAAATTCCTTCAAATGGAATGCTTGCTTATATTTACTGTTAGATGAATGTGGCATGAAATTCCTCAAGGAGGGGAAGAAAGACATTCCCGTCTCTCACTAGCCCCCACATTTGTTTAGAAGTTGCTCTGTGCTGACAAGCAGGCGGGGGACGTGGGTGACGGACAATGAAACCTGCTGTTAGCCAGGAAAGGGGCTGAGCTGGCGCTGTCTCTGGCAACGACAACACAAATGACACAGGTTTCATCTGCTGGCTCAGGTTTCTAAATCCCTGACAGGGACCTTCATCACATCAAGGAAATAGCACAGACTCCCTGCTTTTTATTCCTGGTCAGCTTATTGCTTCCTCCCCACCCCCTCTCCCAACTTCACAGAATTCAAAGGCAGAGGAAGATGGGCAGGGTTCCTTTTTAAAGATAGTCAATGGCCTGCCTTTTTATTCTCTGGTAGGATCAAGAAATTTCTTTTCACCTTGCTGCCATCAAAAGAATGATACTGTCCCCTCCCCTCAAAAATGGCAAATTACAAAACAGATGCCAAGGAACTTATCTCTATTTTTCTGAATTTTAAAGCATTTGTTACCTTTAAGCAATGCAAACACATACATACACCCATGTGAAGACAGTTTTCACAGATTTTATCAATATCAGAAAAACATTTTGTAAGCAAATAGAACATTTAAAAAAAATACTCAGGCACCAGGCGTGGTGGTTCACGCCTGTAATCTCAGCACTTTGGGAGGCCAAGGTAGGTGGATCATGTCAGCCCAGGAAACAGAGATTGCAGTAAGCCAAGATCGTGCCATGCACTCCAGCCTGGGTGATAGAGTGACACCTTGTCTCAATTAAAAAAAAAAAGTACTCAGATATTTGAACTAGTTGTAACATCTTACTGTTCATCTCATCTTTATTATGAGTTAAATAAAACCATGGGCACATGTTTAAAAAAAAAAATACTCAGAAGATTTTAAACCTTAAAGGAGTCCTGCGAATCATTTCCACTGCTATTCCAAATATAATGTAAAAATCCACAAAGTACACTGCATGTAATTACATGGGTTGAACCTTACAGATACAGACACTGAGCTAAAGAAGCAAGACACAAGGAACACATAAAGTATGATTTAGATAAAGTTTTAAAAGGGCAAAATTAAGCCCCATGGTTTAGAAATACACACATGTGTGTACAAGGTTATGGTGATCACATAAACCATTCCTACACAACTATGGCACATTGTGAGTCCCACCTGGGAGAGGAAGGGGTTGTGACCAGGGAGGGACACACATATGAGGTGCTGGCCGTGCTCTGTTCTTTCAGTGGTGACTGTATAAGCCTTTACTTCATAATTAATGTTTTACATACTTCTCCATAAGTCTGTAATATCTCCGTTTAAAACAAGCACTGGGATGGGTGTAGATTCATTCCTGTAATCTCAGCACTCTGCCGAGCTAAGGCGAAAGGATTACTTGAGGCCAGGAGTTCAAGACCACCTGGGCAACACAGTGAGACTCCATCGCTACAAAAACAATTTTTTTTTTTTTTTTGAGAGGAGTCTTACTCTGCAGTCCAAGCTAGAGTGCAGTGGCGCAGTATCACCTCACTACAACCACCGCTTCCTGGGCTCAAGCGGTTCTCGTGTCTCAGTCTTCCGATTTTTTTTTTTGACAGAGGGTCTCACTGTTGCCTGCTGAAGTGCAGTGGTGTGATTTCAGCTCACTGCAGCCTCGACTTTCCAGGCTCAGGTGATTCTCCCACCTCAGCCTTCCCAGTAGCTGGGACTACAGGAACACGTCACCACACCCAGCTAATTTTTGTATTTTTTGTAGAGATGGGGTTTCACCATGTTCGCCAGGCTGGTCTCTAATGCCTGGGCTCAAGTAATCTGCCTGCCTTTGCCTCCCAAAGTGCTGAGATTACAGGAACCACCATGAGCCACCATGCCTGGCCTCTCTACGTAAATTTTTTTTTTTTTTTGAGACAGAGCCTCTCTGCTGCCCAGGCTGGAGTGTAATGGCACAATCCTCCGCCTCCTGGGTTCAAGCAATTCTCCTGCCTCAGCCCCCCAAGTAGCTAGGATTACAGGCGTATGCCACCATGCCCCGCTAATTTTTTGTATTTTTAGTAGAGACGGGGTTTCACTATGTTGGCCGGCCTGGTATTGAACTCCTGACCTCAGGTGATCACCGGCCTCGGCCTCCCAAAGTGTTGGGATTACAGGCGTGAACCACCGCACTGGGCCTACATAAAAATTTTTAAAAATTAGCTTGGCATGGTGATGTACACCTGCAGTCCTAGCTACTCGGGAGGCTGGGGCAGGAGGATCTCTTGAGCCCAAGGAATTGAGGCTGCAGGGAGCTATGGTTACACCACTGCACTTTAGCCTGGACAACAGAGTAAGATCCTGTCTCTAAAAAAAATTTAAAAAGAGAAAAATGTTTTAAAAATAGATAAGTAAAATAGGCACCAAACCCAGGCATGATGGTGTACACCTATAGCCCCAGCTACTTGGGAGGCTGAGGTGGAACAATCACTTGAGCCCAGGAGTTCAAGGCCAGCCTGGGCAAGAGAGTGAGACCATGGTATGGCACTAAAACAAAATAAAATAAGTACCAAAAAATCCAATATTTCATGGTAAAAATAATATATTTCCAGGCAGAAATACTTTGCAGTTTTAAAAATATTCAAATCACGGCACTGAGGAAGTGTTAAAATTATAAAATAAAAATAAATCTATTCTAAGTAACACAAAACTTAGCCTCTGGACACGGTTTATAATCTCTCTGGTTTAGAAAAATAGTCACAAACTTCAATGCTTATGGGGACCTGGTCAGAGGGACCCACTCAGCTCCGCCTGCTGTGGGAATGAAAGCTGCTTCAAGGAGGCAGAAATGAGCACTTTATGATACTTCCTTATTGCTAAATATTGACAACTAGTTCCAAATTTAGAAAAAATACTTCATAAACCAAACATAGCATATTTTTTAGCTAAAGACTTCTGTTTTCAGCTGAGCACGGTGGCTCATGCCTGTAATCCCAGCACTCTGGGAGGCCGAGGCAGGCGAATCATGAGGTCAGGAAATCAAGACCATCCTGGCCAACACAGTGAAACCCCATCTCTACTAAAAATACAAAAAGTAGCTGGGTGTGATGGCACATGCCTGTAATTCCAGCTATTTGGGAGGCTGAGGCACGAGAATCGCTTGAACCCCGGAGGCGGAGGTTGCAGTGAGCTGAGATCACGCCACTGCACTCCAGCCTGGCGACAGACTCTCTAAAAAAAAAGACCTCTGTTTTCTAACTGCTTCAAAGTCTACCCACTTTTCTCACTCACTCAGAACTTTCCTGAGCACCCACTATGTGCCAGGAACTGTGTTTACAGAGACAAACACTGACCACTGTATCCCCAGAAGACACTGAGTAAACACCCAACTGCTCCCTCCCATTCTTCCCCATCTCCAAAAATGGCCAAACCTAGGAATTTTCCTCGACACCTCTCTTTCAGCCCCATATCTAACCCTTTAGGAAATTCTGTCAGCTCTACCATGCAAACATACCCAGAATCCAACCACTTTGCACTTCCACTGCCACCACCCTGGTCCGAGTCACTACTTTGTCCTGCTCAGACTCCTCTCTGTCCTCACCCCCCTTATTATCCACTCCCACTCTCACCCTAGGCAGAGGGGTCTGGTAAAAGCAAAACCAGAGCACAGGGATACCAGCACTCTCTAAGTGCTTCTCCTTTTGTTCAGTGTAAAATCCAAAGCCATAACCATGGCCTACAGTCCTACCTGATCTTACTCCGAAACTAAACTTCATCAGTCTTAAAGTTTCATCATTTCCTCAAAGTTTTCTGGTAAATTTCCTTCTTAAGAATACTCACTTTGGTTTGACAATGAAAGGGCCTGGAAACTGGTACAGGCAATCTGACCAGTGTTCATAACCCATGACTCAGCAGGCAAATCCTAGAAACATACTCGCACATGTGCACAAAGACACATAAAAGGATGTTTCTAGTAGCCTTGTTTTTAAGAGTAAAAGCTGAAAATAAATCTAAATGTTCAAAAAACAGAAATGGCTTAATAACTGGACTTTTATGCAACAGTTAAATAAGCTATTTCTATAAGCAGATCTGAGGGAAACCAGGAATTGCCCAGTGCTGTACCAGCAGAAATGGGGCCAAAAGACTACCCCAGAAGTCCCAGCTAGCAAAAGGCAAAAATTCAAGACAGAAGCCATTTTCTTCTCACAGAAAATCTTCAGAGCAACGGCTCTAGAAATGAGACAGATGTCGGATCAAACTAGTTCTGCCATTTACTAACTGGGTCACTAGGAAGTTACTCTCACAACTTTCTGAGACTGTTTCTTCAAATGCGAAATGTAGATTGATAATCTCCCCTCAGGGGAGGGAAGGCCTGGCTCATCACTGGCACTTACTATGACAGCCTGAGGCCCTAAGAGTTTGGCGCCATAAGCCTCTAAGATCTGCCAGTCCCCATACAGTCTCCTCACTTTATGACAGGCCACAACTTTTCTGGCTCGCCATCCAGGACCAGGGGTATTCTGGCCACATGGCACACAAAGATTCTGGCTTGAATCCAAAACCTTTTAAGTGGATAATCATCTCTAATGGCAAAATAAGGCTTCCAGGAAAATACGACTCATTAAAAAAACACACTTTTAGACACATCTACTTATTGCATGAAGCCCAGGCTCACAGCTAGGGTCCATAGTTGCTCCAATTGCTAAGGCACTTCAATTAGAAAAGGTGGGGTTTTGTTTCGTTTGAAAAATAATGCACTAAGTGCCAAAAGAAAAATAGCAGTGCCACGAATACCAGACATAAAGGCATCTTCACTGCAAAGAGGCTTCAGTGCACAGGCTTCAGGAAGTGAGACCAACTCCTCCCACAAATGTGACGCTACTTACCAATGGCCCTGCGGAAGTTCTCCATCAGCACCTCTGTCTTCTTGATCTCAGTTGAGTAAACTTCACTCCCCACCATTGGGCAGAAGGGGACCTTACTACCCAGCTCCTGAGCAATAGCCAGAGCCAGAGCTGTCTATAGAAGAAAGCAACGGAAACACAGTTCACAGTCCTGAAAACATAAACAATTCACAAGCACATGCTACAGAACCACGAGGAACTAGGAACAGCATGTTTCACATAATAAATGCTTGATGACTTTTGTGGACAGTCAATTTAAATCATAAATGGCATCTCTAATGTTCCCCATAATTACAAGCTATCAATCACTCAGACTTATCCAGCACAGGCCCAACTCCAAATGCCTCACATGATCCTCACAACCAGCCTATGATATAGACACTAGTATTCTCCCCATTTTATACATGAGAAACCGAGAGACATTAAATAACACAATGTAAGTACCATAATCTAGAAAATGGCAGTGCAGATTTAATCTCTGGCAGCAGGACTCCAAAGATCATGTCATAATTAGAAGAGTCTACTCTTCAGTATCCACAGGGATACCAAAATCCATGGATGTTCAAGTCCTGGTATAAAATGGCAGGGTATTTCCATATAACCTATGCACATCCTCCTGTTACTTTAAATCATCTCTAGATTACATACAATACCTAATAAAATATAAATGCTATGTAAATAATTATATTGTATTTTTAAGTATGCATTATTTTTATTTTTGTATTTTTATCTTTTATTTTTTTTTCCTGAGTATTTTTGATTTGTGGTTGGCAGAATCTACACACATGGAACCCACAGATAGGAAGGGTGAACTTTATAGTCATCCAAAATTGTTCCCTCAATATCAATACGTGGCTCTGACCTAATTGCTCAGAATACACCACTGGATCTTTGAGATACCTGCTTTCCCTTTTTACAAATACAGGAAAACACCAATCTACAACCTATCAGAAATAATGAAGGAATGAATGAACTGATTGTTCATTTTATGTTATGCAGCCCATAAAGAGTGAAGAAGGATATCTCAAGCAGGATTTTGAAGCTATGAGTTGGTCTTAACAAGTTACACTTAAACACGCCCTGTGGTAAACTACAAATTGATTTTTGGTAAGATAATTATAGTTGGCAAATGCTAAACAGAATCAGACTTCACAGGTGTATGGTCAAATGTCAAGTATGGCAAGCAAACGCTTTAAAGTTGGTACAGAACTGGGCAAGGCCATGGCCTTTGAATGCCATTTTCATCTTTCCTCATCTCTGAAACAGAAGCACAAGTAAGGCCAGCCCCCCAGGTATATGGGCTAAGAAAGAAAACAAGTTTGTTACTGAAGAACAAAGTGAAACTCTGAGACGGTGTCTTAAAATTAACAGTCAAGGTTCCTCTCAGATTTTGTTTTCCATGCCCTGTTGTTGATAGTTTTGAGGTAGTAAGCTCTGGTGGAGAATCAGTATATAGCATAGTATAAAATGCACTAGCCAGGAACAGAAAGATTTAGTGCTGGTTCTGCCACTAATTTTCAGTGTGACCTTGGGCAGTCGGCAAATCTCAGGTGCCCGATTTCCTCATCTGTCAAATGAAAGTACTAAAGTGCCATGCTAGATCACAAGTGGCAAACTCGTTGGTCACAGCCTGGTTCTGTTTGGCCTGAAGTCGCACGGTGACCTTCAGCAAAGCCAAGCACCCGGGGCTCATGGCAACCGCGCCACAGCGCACCCAGCCACTTCCCTCATCCCCGCTGCCTGCCTCATTAGGCATCCGCACTTGTGAGCCCAAGGCTGACACCTTAAAAACTGGTATTCTTCTAAGAGCAAAGGAAAAAAATCTCTGGAATGTGAAAAGGCACAATGAGAGGAGCAGCACTTTAACAGCAGATTCCCTGTGGGGCCACAGGCTGGACAGGACCACCATCTAACTAAACTCCACTGCCTTCCCAGTCACTCCTCTTTCTCTTCCTTGTGTCTCTGCCAGCCCCAATTCCCTACCCTCGGTTTTCAACTTCAAAGACAGTGACCACATCCAATTAAATGGCACTCTCCCTCCCTTTACCTAATACAGAAGAGATAAACATACTTCCATTAAAATATGATAAATACTTGGTTTAAAAAAAAGCTTCACATGTGTCTCATTTCCTCCATTTAAAGGCTTCCAGAGGGAAAGTATATGACATGGCTACTATTCCTACACCTACTACAGAGTACTGCGCAGACCTCATCGAATCTCCCCAACTAGCCTATAACCTTGATCATCTAGTCTGTACTTTATAGATTAAGAAACAAAACTCAAAAGTTACCAACACACCCAAGGTCAAACCACAAGCAGCAGCACTAGGATGCAAACCCCAGTCTCCAAAGCCATTATCTTTTTGTACTCACCCCATGTGAGTGACAAGTGGCACAAAAAAAAGAGGTTTTTCCAAAAGAAGGTTGAAGAAATCTCTATTTTTCAATCTCATCTGAATATCTCCTTTTTCTAAAACCCAAACCCATTATTAACAGTGTGAGGTCCTCAAGAGTGGAAATGCATATGAACCATGCATTTGCATCTCTAAAATAAGCAGTATTCCTGCTTGTCACCCAGTTAAGTTGGCTAAACTTTGGGACCCTGCAGCAAACCATTAAACAGAAGTCACCAAATTCCTTCATACACATTGGAAGGGAGTGGACAAACTTATAAGGTAATACCACACCGAGCACTTCTCATATTCCCTGAGAGGAAAGCGATACAATATTACCAAAACAAATGAAGGACATATGCTTCTAGCAATATGGCACACTGGGTCCACTGAAAACCTCTCCTCTTACAAAACACGTGTGTCTCGTTTCCTCCATTTAAAGGCTTCCAGAGAGAAAGTATATGACATGGCTACTATTCCTACACCTACTACAGAGTGCTGCAAAGACCTGTTCATAGAATCGAATAAATAGTAACATTCAGAGCAGTAAACCACTTGCCTTGAAAGTTCGGAGACTGTGGATACGGGAAAGCTCAGCAAGATAAAGCACTTAGATAGAAACCCCTGAATAAAACCAGGACCGGGTGCGGTGGCTCATACCTGCAACCCCAGCACTTTGGGAGGCCGAGGCAGGTGGATTGCTTGAGCCCAGGAGTTCAACACCAGCCTGCGCAACATGGTGATACCCCATCTCTACAAAAATAACAAAAATTAGCCAAGGCATGGTGGTGTGCACCTGTAGTCCCAGCTACTCAGGAGGCTGAGGTGGGAGGATCACCCCAACCCAAGAGGTAAAGACTGCAGTGAGCCGAGATCACTGCACTCCAGGCTGGGTAACAGACCACGGCACTCCAGCCTGGGCAACAGACCACTGCACTCCAGCCTGGGTGACAGAGTGAAACTGTCTCAAAAAACAAACAAACGAAACCTTACAATTAAAAAAACAAACATAAAAAGAGGACTCTTGAAGGGCCACACATAAGTAGAAAAGGTGGGCCATAACAAAATACACCTGGGGGCCAGGCACGGTGGCTCATGCCTGTAATCCCAGCACTTTGGGAGGCCTAGGGAGGTGGATCACCTAAGGTCAGGAGTTCGAGACCAGCCTGACCAACATGATGAAACCCCATCTCTACTAAAAATACAAAAATTAGCCAGGCACCTGCAATCCCAGCTACTCAGGAGGCTGAGGCAGGAGAATCGTTTGAACTCGGGAGGCAGAGGTTGCAGTGAGCCAAGATCACGCCACTGTACTCCAGCCTGGGCAAGAGAGTGAGACTTCATCTCAAAAAAAAAAAAAAAAAAAAAGAAGGAAAGAAAGAAAAGACATTATAACAATTCATGCAGTGTGTAACCTTTGATTGCATTTTGATATTCTGGTGTTTTTCAAAAAGCCGAAAACTGAAACAACTTGGAAAGATGTTTTCTAATTTCTATCATCTATATTTTCTTTTCATTAAAACAATTTAACTTCATTGTCTTTGAAAGCACATTTGTTAACTGCTCATGGAATCATATGATGAGCTGCCAGACTCCTTCATCTTTGTGATTTCTCTACCGCAGCTGATATGGTTACCTACTCCTTTCTTTAAAGGTTCTCCTTCCTTGGTTCCTGAGACACTATTCTCTGCCTGGCTCTGCTCCTCATTTTTAAAAAATTAATTAATTTAATTTTTAATTGACAAAAATTGGGGGAATATAATAGCATTAGCAAGGTGGGTCTGATGATGGCATCCTGGTCATGTAGGAAAACATCCTTACAACTTACTTTCAAGTGGTTCAGAAATAAACTAGAGAAAAAGCGAATGTCACAAAATATTTATAACTGGCTATCTAGGTATAGGGTATAAAGGGGCTCATCACACTATTCTTTCAACTTTTTTGTAGGTTCCAAACTTTTCAAAATGAAAAGGAAAAAAATACTCAACAGACTGGATTAATCAGTCACTTAATCACAGCTTAAGAGACAATTAGACTGAAACAAAGATCTAAAAGAAATTACCCATAATTTGGCAGAGTCAAAAAGGTAACAAATATGAGAGGCCAAAAGACAAAGAGGCCAAAACAAGACGCTCTAGTCCAGGGTTTCTCAGCTTGGGTCCATGATGTTTGTGGCCAGATAATTCCTTATTATGGAAACTGCTCTGTGCACTGTAAGATGTTTAGTAGCATCCCTGGCCTCCACCCACTAGATGACAGTAGCACCCCCAACCAAGTTGTGAGAACCAAAAATGTCTGCAGACATTGTCAAAGGCCCCTAGGAAGGCAAAATTGCCCCAGGTTGAAAACCACTGCAATCTTAACCTCATCTCACTGGAGTTCCAGAAGGAGACAACAACGAGAATGAGGAAAGACAATGGCTGAAGAGATTAACGCTGACTTTTTTTTTTTTTTTTAAGACGGAGTCTTGCTCTATCACCCAGACTAGAGTGCAATGGCGCGATCTTGGCTCCTTGCAACCTCCGCCTCCTGGTTCAAGCGATTCTCCTAAGGCTGACAATTTTCCAGAATTGAGCAGAGACATAATACTCAGATTCAGGAAGCACAATTAGCGTTAAGCAGGATAAACAAAAATTAATCCACTCTGACATATCATAGTGAAACATCAAAACCAAAAACATCTCAAAAACATGCAGAAAGAGTCAAAATCCTCAAAATTAGACTTCTCAAAAACAACAGAAACCAAAGGAGCAAATAACACTGAGAGAGAAGTACTGTGAAATAGCACAGAAGAAAATATCTGTCAACTGAATTATACAGCCAACATAACTCTTTTTCAAAACAAGGGTAACATAATGAACGCAAACCTGAGAGACTTTCCACCAACAAACTTCTAGAAGGAATTTCTAAATTATTTACTTTAGGAAGAAGAAAAATGGAGGGAAAGAGAAGGTCTAAGATGTAAGGAATTGCAAGCAAATAAATGGTAAATGCACTGGACAAGCTAATGTTGCCTGGAGAGAGGTAACTGAAGCTCACCTCTGTATGGCGCTTTACAGTTTAAAAAAACTGTTCACAATTTGCTTTTATATAGGAAGAGAAAAAACTGTTCACAAATACAACACTTCTTCCCCTTGTAAGACACCAATATAAGATACATGATCAATAATCATTTCAAAATTATAATGCAAGTCATTATCTTAAAACCGATCAGTTTAATAACTGCTTGAAATGGGTAGAGTATGCTTTTGCTCAGAAAAGTTAAGGGACCTGCCTCAGGTCTCACAGCGAGTCAATACCAGAGCTGGAATTTAAAGCCCATCTCTTTTCACACACAACCCCAAGCTCCCACTTGCTCACATCAAGCGGCCCTTTTGAAGAATAAGTAAGCTCAGATTGGGAACTCTGGTGAGTTTCAAGTATCTGGCCAGTCCCCTCACAAATCCCAAGAAGTCACACAGTGTCCTCTGCCTGAAAGGCCCTTATCTTCCCTGTAAAGCCAAATCCTCTCCCAGCTCTGAAGGGAAAATGTCAAGTCTCAACCCTTCCAGCTGTACCAGCCCGCAGTGCTGCCTCCTGCTCAAATCCCAGCTGCATTTAATATTAGTCAATACCTCAAAGCTGAGCACTCATACTGAGTCCTCTTGTGCTGTCATGATTTCCTTTCTTTCTGCCCTGGAGAGACTGTAAGCCCCTTGAAGATAAAAATCATGTCTCTAATTCTCGTTTTTCTTTTTTTCATCTCTCACACAGCCACAAAAGCAATGGGTAAAGCTAGCATTTGGAAGAACGCTTGTTGACTCATTTTTTTGTCCCCTCAAATAAGATGTCACTCAGAAAATCTTTATGAAGCCCTAGGCCAACAGAAATGTATTTCCACAGCAAAGGAGACTTGAAAGAGATAAAGGACAAATTCTAGAGACAATGAGACCCCTTCAAGGACTTCATTCTCTCTTCTCTGGAGATAGGCCAGGATAATTTGAATTTCAGAAGCAGGGATTTTAGATACACAATTGTATTATTGCACATTAGTTTTAAAAACATACATATAACCCATTTAGCTAAACAAAGACTAGTTAAGACATGAATTCAATTTGGCTTAGACATTAGGATCATTCTCTTGGGTAGATTTAAAAAATGAGAGAAAATGAGTACCTTGCCAGTTCCAGGAGGTCCTGCCAACAAGACAGCTCTTCCAGCCATTTTCTTGCTTTTGATTAATTCTACTATGACGCCACATGCCTACACGCCACAGTGGAAAGAATAAATCAGTATTACAATATTTCACAAGGGGAAAAAACTCAGTCCCCGGCCTATACAATTCACACGCTCATCCAACTAACACTGAGTGCTGGTGCACTGCAGACACCATTCTAGGTGCCGAGGGTAACGGAGGCAAAGCAGAAAAGCCTTGTACTTGTGGAGCTCATGTTTTAGGGAGGGAGACAAACATACAAACATTGCACACGTGATCTTCATTACTACTATGAAGAAAAAGGGATGATGAGAGAGAATCAGTGGCTAGAAAGTGATCCTGGAATGTCTTTCTGATGACATTTAATTTGATATGTGAACCTCTGGGAGAAGCAGGAGTCAGTGTTACAGGCAAAGAAAACAGCAAATTCAGAAAATCCAAAGCAGAAACGAGCTTGGCGTATCCAAGGGATAGAAAGGTTGCAGTGACCAAAGTATGGTGAAAAAGACCACGAAGATGAGGTTGAAGAGGTAGGCAGCGGCCAGAACACAGAACAGGAACGTATAGTCTGTGGTACAGTTTGGATTTTACTCTACATAAATAATAGGAAGCCACTGAAAAGGTCTTGAAGACTACGTGTCATGTTATGATTTGTTTTTAAAACACGGTGCTGGCTTCTGTATGAAGAATGCACAGTATGAGTACAAGTAGAACACTGATTTTGGCCCAGGGTACAGGGATAGACGCCAGGGGCCCAAATACCTCTTGAATTTGGGAACAAAACTGTGTTTATATTCATATACACATTTTTTTCCAGGGAAAGGATCCATAGATTTCATCAAATTCCCAAAGTAACCTACTAAGCGGTAAGAATCAATGACATAGAGTACTAGCTGGTCATCAGTGAACACTGTAAATACTGATTGTGAAGTTAAGCCTATGGCACTATTAGATCCATTGAATATGTTTTGAATCCTCAAGATTAAATTACTTTATCATCTGTTAGTATATTTTAAATACATTATAAATCTCTGAATTTTATTAACCATTTGCAGTACACGTGTGTATATATACATACACATATTCCATAAATGGGCTACGGACCATCATATATTTTAGAATATTTGACTATAAGGGGGGAACACTGAGAAAGTTACACTAGCTGAGCATCTATATCTCAAGACTGCATAATATAAGGTTTGCTACACTGATTCAATAACTGAATATGTGACTATCTAAAAGGTGCTCTTCTCTCTGGGCAGTGACCACACTGCCAGAGTCTTGTGAATACATCTTATCTCTTCTACCTCTATTCCTCATGGACAGTGAAGTACCTTGGTCTCACACTTATGGCAGCCCCTCAAAAAATATGTCAGGACTACAGGTGCCTGCCACCACGCCCAGCTAATTTCTTGTATTTTTAGTAGAGATGGGGTTTCACCGTGTTAGCCAGGATGGTCTCAATCTCCCGACCTTGTGATCCGTCTGCTACTGGGGAGGTTGAGGCAGGAGAATGGCGTGAACCCGGGAGGTGGAGCTTGCAGTGAGCCAAGATGGCGCCACTCTACTCCAGCCTGGGTGACAGAGTAAAGCTCCCTCTCAAAAAAAAAAAAAAGAAAAGTAAGGAATATGTGTGAGCATGCTATATCCATCCCATTTCCACTTCAGTTACCAAAGCACACTGCCCTTAATAGAACCTAGAAGATATTCTTCAGATGCTACTTTTTCAGATGGAGTCTCACTGTCACCCAGGCTGCAGTGCAATGGCGTAATCTCAGCTCACTGCAACCTCCGCCTCCCAGGATCAAGTGAGTCTCCTGCCTCAGCCTCACGGGTAGCTCGGACTACAGGCACATGCCACCACACCTGGCTAATTTTTGTATTTTTAGCAGAGACAGGATTTTGTTATGATGGCCAGGCTGGTCTCGAACTCCTGACCTCAGGTGATCCACTTGCCTTGGCCTCCTGAAGTGCTGGGATTACAGGTGTGAGCCACTGCGCCCAGCCCAGATGCTATATTTCTAAACAGATAAAAAGCCTAGCCAGGCGCGGTGGCTCATGCCTGTAATCCCAGCACTTTTGGAGGCCGAGGCGGGTGGATCACCTGAGGTCAGGAGTTCAAGACCAGCCTGGTCAACATGGTGAAACCCTGTCTCTACTAAATATATAAAAATTAGCTGAGCATGGTGGTGGGCGCCTGTAATCGTGGCTACTCATGAGGCTGAGGCAGGAGAATCACTTGAACCCGGGAGGCAGAGGTAGCAGTGAGCCGAGATCGCACCATTGCACTCCAGCCTGGGCAACAAGAGCGAAACTTCATCTCAAACAAAAACAAAAACAAAAACAAAAAAACCTACTATGATCTTTCCATACAACCTTGTCATATAATCCTCAGCACTGAAGCTCTTTGGGAAACTCAAGGTAGAAGAGACTTTACAAACCTTGGATATGTGCTTTTATTTACAGACCAGGACCTCTTCCATCTATTCTCCCTCAGTTTCCACTCCAACTTCTCTCAGGTGAGATAAGCTTGAATTCTAACATTTAAAAAGAATTGGAAGGGTCTTTAAATGATCACCTAGTCTAACTCTCAATTTTCAGGAGGTTACTGATGTGACCAGAATCACACAAGAACCTGGTAGCTGAGGTGGGTCTTAAGCATACAGCATCAGTTAAGAGCATGGACTCTGGGATTAAATACATAGACTTGAGTTAAAATACTCTCCCACTTACCAGATGAGTAACCTTGGACCTACTTACTTGACCTCTATGAACCAGAATTTCCTCACTTGAACAGAGTTCATACTAGTCAATGGCACACATGTTAAAGGGTGTAGGGGTGAAGTGTAGTGATGCCTGCAATTCACCTTGAAATGTAAAAGTGGATTGGGAGAGGGACACATGGAAAGATATATGATAAAGCAGCATAGTAAAATGTTAATCATAGAATTTAGGTACACAGGTACTTACTATACAAGTCTTTCAACTTTTTTTGTATGTCTGAAAACTGTCATACTAACGCAGGGAAGGGACAACTAATTCGTTGGATATGACAAGGCAATGGACACATAGCTACTTAGCACAGTGTTTGGCACATGGAAAGCACTCAACCAATGTTAGCTACTTGCAGTAATAGCTGCTTAGTAAGGCAGGGTCAAACACTTCCTTTTTGGAAAGATGATGCTCAAAATGGAAACCCGAGACTTTTCTTTTGAGCCCTATTTAGAAAAATCAGGCTAAGAGGCAGTAGCTTAACTTTGTATTAAGTGAAGATTTTTGTACAAGCTAAGGCTCTGCAAAGGCCAAGGGGCATGACTGTGACCTTAGAGAACAGCAGGCAGAGAGGGTGGCTATGTCATCATAGAGCACTGATTTGGGAGTCACAAATACATGTGAGCGCAAATCCCCGCTTTACCATTACTAAAACGAGTGTCAAGTATATAGGTGAAGTGCCCTCTCCCCAACTCAATATTTTCACCTGCCAAAAAATAATAAAGTATGTGAAAGTACTTGGCATCACTAGCACTCAGAAAAAGGAGATTTAATTGGAATGGTCAAAAAGGATGCTTGGAGGGATAAATAAACCAGATTGCTCTTCTCCCTAATTCCCACTTCTCTCCCTCAGCTCCCGGGTCCTGAGAACCAAAATGAGCTTTTAAAGTTTAGTCAATTCCCTACTTTAAACCGTCCCACGGCCTGCCAGTGCGTTCACAATAAAATCCAATTTCCTTACCGTGGCCGACAAAGTTCTGCAGTAACTAATCCCACCAAGATAATTATTTTTGTTTATTGATGTACACGTTTATCGTCTCTCACTACACTAAAATGTAACCTCCTATCTTATTTCTCGCTGTATCCCAGTGTCGCGAATAGAGCCCAGCACGGATTAAGGGGACGGGGTTGCGTGGGTTTCCATTAGTACTTGTCCATGAGTTGAAGCAAACTGTCAACTGCCCCCAGTGGGTCGTCACTAGTTTTCCTGGGGCGGCCCCTCCCCGAGCCCCTGGCCCATTTTCACTTCCCTGAGGCAACTATGGCGGGAGACCCCTGGCGCGCGCATCCCGCCCCGAGCCACCGACTTCAGCAGCTCTCTCGCCGCAGCAGCCCTGCTTGGAGCCCCCAACTCCCTGGTCCGCTGGCCACACCTCTCGCGCGTTCTCCTGGCCCACGAGCCCTGAGGCCGCCTGCTTGGCCAAGCCGCTCTCGTCCAGCCCCAGCCCTTTCACGTGGCTGTGGGAAGCGATGCGCTGCGTTTTCGTGGTGCTCTTCACCTCCTCAATCTTCATTTTGCGGACGCCGGGAGCTAAAACCAGCGTGGAAAACCAGCAGATACGACAGTGCGCCCAGCGCCTGAGTTACCATGCGGCCGTTACTAGGGCAATTTGCAAAGGCCCGCCTAGGTTGGCCTTCCATTGGTGGAAGCGGGAACGCCTCCGCTCTCCATAGGCTCACGGCTGCGCCCATCGCGGCTGCTGCTGGAGCTCCAGTCACTCACTTCCGGCTGTGTCTCTGGGTTGGCTTCCCCCGCAGCCGGCGCTTCCTGCCCAGGCTGGGGTCGATAGCACAGTGGGACCACGCCCCGGATTTGATTTCGGGCTGGGGCGTTGCACGAGGTAGTGGCCCCCGGGTACCACTCCTAATCCTTCCGTCCTATCCATTATCACGTTTGAACGTCATACTCTTACGCGAAGCTCAAGTTATTATTTCCGTTTTGGAAATAGAAGAACTGAGGTTCAGAGCTTAAAATGAGATTGGTTACTAACCAATGTTTTCTGACTCGCAGACCTTTGCATCTCGTCTGGAAAGGCCCAGCGCAACCCACCACTCCTTCCGTGGAATTGTCTTCCCCTGCTTCTAATCTCCATCCTCCGCCGAGAGATAAGGTTCCTGCTAAGTTCATTTCAGTTGACTGTAAATAACATTTTGCAGTTTTCAAAACTCTGCAGCCCTGTAAGGTAGTGTAATTACGAATGCAGCTACAGACAAGCAGAAAGAGGCCCATCCGCCCAAGAAAGCACCACAAATAATCAGAACTAGAAATCTTCAG